CTCTCTGCTTTACTACCTCCAGATTGGTACGCACAGTAGTAATGTCGAATTCACACAGATTTGTCGAATTCACAAAAATACGAGTCAAAACAAGATATAATCGGGCACTTTACCACGCATTTTTGTGTCCACGGATTGTCATGATATTTTCTGAGTAGTATTGCTCTTATTTCGTCAACACAACCGCAGATTAAAAGAATCACACATGGGGATGGATTGAATAGTTTATGCAACAGAAAAAATCATTGAAAAGTCGGCTCTTTTAACGAGTGACGTATACGCGACGATTACTTCAGAAGTTGTTTTCGAGAATTCTAAGGCGACGAATATGTATTCTTGATTTATTAATGTAATATATATTGAATATATTGAATATATATTGAATATATTCAGGCAATATATTCTCTCATTATTATGTTCGCAGATGGCAGTGGAATGTTAAAAAAGTAATGCTTTCATCTTGTCGTAAGTCGACGCAACCGCGAGTTACCATGATGAACACAATTAAGTTAAAATGGAAATACATTTTAAATTCTCGTCGTTGTCATGGAATGAATACTGTGCGACAGAAAAATCCATTATACACCAAAAATGTCGGCTCTTTAACGAACGCGTAATTGCGGCGAATTTCCGATTTTGAAATTCGTTGTGTTTGGTTTTTCTGTTGTGTTTGGTTTTATTGCTGCTTTACACAGAGTACGGTTGCAATAAACGCACCTAGAGTCCGCAAAGGTTTTCGCCGGTGAGAAAATAGTCCGCGACCAAAAAAGGTTGGGAAACGCTGGGCTATACAATCGGCATATATTTCTGGATGAATGAAAAGTTAGCCCCAAAACGGCCAATTATCATTGAATTGTTCTTGAATAGAGCAAAATAGTGTTGAAAAGACGCCCTTACCACTTCGTGTCTTGTTTTAAATGCCATGAATTGGTTCGTTCCAAAATTTCGGATCTTTCCTAGAGCCAGGGCGGAATATTAACTCCTTTGCTACCGCTCAAAATTACGAAAAAAAAAGTTTGCTCTAGAAATTCCAATTTTCTAATCATCCCTCACACTAATTTGATAAATACTAATTTTCAAACGATGCGGACCGTTCGCGTATAAAGCGAATGTGATGACCACTACACTACAGAAACGCATACGCAGGTGGGTCATATTATAATGAACAATCCTCTTGGGAGACTTAACAATAATCTTTCACGTGTTAGGCGAACGTGATGACTTCTACATAAGGAAACGTATACACCCGTGGTTCGTAGAATCGGCTTGAAACCGACCATGATGTTTTTCGTAGTGTAGCGGCCATCTCGTTTGCATACGTTCCCCCCAAAGTGGTTCGGGCCTTGGCAGAAACATTTTCTTCTGTTAACATGTCGCTCTAGCCTAAAATCTTTGACGGATCTTGTTTATCGCCGTAGGAAATAGTGCATATTATGGACTTAGGTATTCTTTCTAAAGGATGAATTAACCCTTCGTGGTAGATGTTTACTTTCTCTTAAAATCTTAGAATACTTTTGAGGTGAAATGATAATTTGCTCGAACAATCGATAATATTCGAATGTATTTCTATCATAATTATCACACATTTGAAAAAATTGGGTCAAAATGCTGAAATGAATCAGTTTTTTAAACACATCTACAAATACAATTGGGAAGTATTGTAAGCGGTAAATTTATAAATCAAAATGGTGGTCCCATCACCGACATTTTTTAATTCTAGTTGAGTGATTTTATTCGTTACTAAAACGTGGAGATAATAAAGATAGACTCGAATGCCAATTTGCTCAATTTAAAGCGTAAAAGTGAGGAATCGAGTGATATATGAACCGATTAAAATGAACAGAAGACAGATTAAAAATATGCAGTGGATCTTGAGAAGACTTCAAAGTTCTTTAAAAACCCAAATAACACACGTGTGTAGCTACCACACATCCTGCCTCTATACACGGCTGTTGTGGATTAATTATTTAGGGTTCGAAATCTGCTTGGTCTAGCAGTATAATCCTACGAAAACCGCAAGTTCAAAGTTTTTAAGTAAGAGTTATAGTTTCCGTAAAGCCTCAGATTGAAAATACAAAACTCCGTGAAAAAATGATATTCTTTTAGCGACAGCATTCCTAATTATACAAATGGGGTACAACTTGTTGCTGAGACTTGTGGAAACGTAGGAAATCGGACACGTTTATGTACGGCAAGTCTGAGTCGCTCCTGGCAATGCCGAGTTATTTTGTTTTCCACCCTCATTCGCTTTGTTCTTTGTTTGTTTGTATCAAAATACTACGTGTAGTTTTAACTTGCTCATATAAATACTTTCAATTGTTAATACAATAAATTATCGCAAGGCAACTCGATAATTATGGCGATTTCGATACCCTCACCATCATGAATCGATATTTTCTAGTTCTTTTGCCTAAAAGTGATGTAAAGCACGTGTAATGCACTTATTATAGTCAAATATATTTGAATACAACAAACAAAAAACGACATCGAACGCACAAAATTGAGATAATCGATGAAACCCTATAGTAACTTCGATATGCGATAATTATTTTTCTAACCCAATGTATTTGCGGATTTCAAAATTCTCAATTTCTTTTCTAGGAATCCAGTCTCATAGAGTATCGTTGCATGTGTCTCTAAAATACCACTTGATTGTTATTGGTATTGGTATTAACAACAAAAATTATGGCCAACAAAACGATAAAAATAATTGAATTTAAAATGCAATTTTTCCAAATTTTATTGATACTAACATTTTTATCTTTCTTATGTTGAAATCTATTCAAATATACTAATAATGTCAATACAAATGCAATAGAACAAAACTTCCATTTTGGGGTCAAAGTTCGAATAGTTTTGAAACCACTTCCTTAAGATATAAATACAAAATTCCCACATCGACTGATGCAAGACAGTTCAAGTTAGAACGAAAATTCGCTGATTTATATGTGTTTGAAGTTCAACTCACGACTCACGAAACCCATAAAAATGGAGATTTAGTATGACATGCACATTTCTGCAATTGTTTCGTCATAATGAGGTATCATTGTTACCGCAGAATTATTGTGATGTCACAAAGGCAAATTAACATCGGCGAAGTATTTTCGAGTTTTTGCATCTCGGATTCTAGCTTAGCGCGTATTGATTTGAATTTACACTACAGTATAGGAAGACGTACAATTGTGATATTCACTGTCCGAGTCTAATTCATCTCGATTGGCTTTTATATTGGGTGCATTGCTGTTTTATTCTTTGTATTTAATCTTAGTCTTATTTCGGTGGGTGTGCAGAACGTGTTATATTGATGAAATATATATTTTTAAACATGGAAAATAAGGTAATTGAAACTGATTAGCTATTTTGGGGATTAGACATTGTAGATACTGAGAATTACATTCGTTTTTGGAATGTTTAGTTTTCAGGACTGGTGCCTATAGTAAAGTTGCAAAATTGCGTATGTCCCCAAGTCATAGACACATTTCTGCCTAAGTCACAGTGCGCCATTATGACATCACTCAACTGCGTCATACAAATTAACTTAAATCCGGCAACGATCAAAAAATTGAACCATGGCAAATTATTGACTCTCAATGGCATAATAATATCATTAGGAAATTTTTTTCGTTTTTCTCAAAACTGCTAAAAATGACTTACGCAATTCGTTTATTAGCGTGACGATATATGATGGTGACCGTACTATTGAACCCACGTACATTTGGACCCATGCGTATATCCGCGGGTTCAATCTATATGCGGGTGCTAAAACCCATGGGTTATGGTGAGTATAGGTTCAAATATCTGTAGAACAAAAAAATGTTCATAGGTGCAATAGTATGCAGGTGCAATTGTCATGGGTTCAAATGTACGTGGGTTCAAATGTAATGGAACCATATATAATAAATATTTATATATTACGCTTTACGCTCCGAATGTTCCTTGTCAAGATCATTCCCATGGTAAGCCGTATAATATTTCATAAGTGTGATGTCTTGATATATATGACTTAGTAGAGAAAAACTTAACAATGTAAAAAAATATATGTGAAAAATTTCCACAGCAAACTGCAAATAAAGCGCATCTAAAAAAACAGAAAGCCGATAATCTAACTAACACTCAATTAGTATAGTGGATATACACTTTGCATAATATATAACAAGTATATCTGTAATGAAAGAGAAACAAATAGCCGGTTTACCGAACAAATTTTATATGCGATGGGCGGTGGCACATTGACTAATCAATACGCTTTGACTCAATAAAGACTCAATTTGACTCTACTGATCACGTTACTTGCTTTCCGTTGAAAAAAAAACTGTCATCGCAGGGATGTATTTGTTACCTTGAAGAAAACCGGAAAATTGCAATAAAAACGTTTTGCAGCAATGCAATCAATTTTGTTTTCGGATTATTTGTAGAAAGCCCCCGCCACTAATGCAAAAATATGATATTTGAGAAAACAACCCCGCCACGTTTTAAGCACTTTAGATTGCGCCTTCCACGTTAGCGGTGGTGGGGTGTTAATTTTTGGAAGGGACTTTCTACAAAAGATCCTTGTTTTCATTTTACAACCAGTTAAAATGGTCTCAACATATTACTCTGATCATCCTATCTCTTTGATTTTTTTATTATTAAAACTAGTGTTATCAGCTCTATCATTTTTACAATCAGCGACCTAGTGATTGTAGTCAACTTACAGCTGTAAGTTCTTGATTGTTTAAATAACTTAATCTACGAATCTAAGACTATTATAGCGTAGAATATAATTATTTTTTCTTAAGACACATAAGGAATTATTTTCTATAGATTGCAGAGTTGGTTTGCCCAGTAGTAACTTTTTTTAGAGTCAACGACGACGTAATAATAGGAACAAATGACTCCGAATGAAAAAATTTACTCTTTGGGACAAATGTTTACCCGAATGGCTCTTTGGAAATGGGCCACCATCGTGAGTCGGGCCGTTATCACGTTAATCTTCAAGTGTTTTAAGAATTTAAGCTGTTTATATATATATATATATTCAAATTATATAAAACATATTGTTCGCCAGCAATTCATTCAAGATATTGGCAATTCATCAAAAAATAATTATCGTCCCATCATAATGTCATCTTAAAAACTTTTGATTTCAGTTTTCAGCAGTCATGAATAACAATTTGTTCTGAATCTTCCAACTCGATTTGAGTGTCTGTCGTTTCTTCTATTGATGATTGATCAGACGGGAGATATGCAGAAGTAAATCTTCGATTATTTGCAGTTTTTCTTCATTCATGGTAAATTAACAAATCATTAAATTGATAAAGACGCGTTATACTTGTTTAATATGCAATTTAAAGAGTCTTTCTTTTATAAAAAAAAAATGTATACGTATGAAAACTTTCACACACTTAAAGGATTTGTTGGTTTTTGTCGTAATTTGTTTTTACTTTGAAATTTCGATAATGTCCTCAAAGCAGTACACAAGGAAGAGTTACGTTTTTGAAAAGAGTGTGATGTTTTCAGGTTCATCCTTCTAATCATTTTGTTAATACAAATTCAGAATCCGAAACAAGAATTAAGCGTATTGTAAAAGTCATACTACATAATCGCAAAAAAAAAAATTGTTTATTCTTCACAGCAGATAAACCAGCTTTAATGAAGTCAGTTTCTTCAAATAAAACAACCCTGACCACTAGCGAATATGTAACACATGTTTGAATCGTTTGCATAGGATTACTTGTTTGCACCCAAACAAACTATTGTTGGCTTTATAAAATGAATTCAGGATTATATACTTACTTTCTTTGGCACAGTTTGGGCATATTTTCAGCACAAAAATCTTCCGTCTCTTCTAGTGTTGACATGAGTTTTATATTATTTGTGTTAGGATAAGCAAGAGCGCAGAGACCGGCAATGACGCTCAAACTACCAAATACCGTCTGTAATATTAGAAAGGTTTATAGAATATAATCACGAACAGTTAATTTTACTGTTTATAATTAGGTTATATTATTTTAACATCGTGAACGAGATCTGATTGAAAATTGGATTCTATTCAGATGGAGTACTTTGTTTTAATCAATGTTCGATTTTGTGAAATATTTAACATACATTTCCATAATTGGTTAATTCTGGCCTATTTTAAAAATTCAATTTTTTTTTGACCTATAAAATCGGGTAAGGGTATTTTTGTTCAGCATGACAAAATGTAGGTCTTCAATTTTTTTAGTAATCTGACATAAAGTAAGGATTTTGGATTTGGCAGCCAAACACGGTTACAAACTAATTTGATAACTCGATTTGAACGATGTCATATTATGCAATAATGCCTGTACAACCTTGGAGTCCTATCAGTCTATTGCTATTTCGCATTCAAGTAAATAAGAGAATTTTATATGAAAATAGTGAAAAAACTCACTTGCATAAACCATGGATATTTATCTTGAACCATTATTGCAAACGGCGACAATATTGCTCCAATACGTGCAGATGCGGACCCTAAACTCAAGCCTGTTCCCCTGAAAATGTAAATAACTTCAATTATTAGAGCAAACTCTGGTACCAATAAACTTTTTAAAGGAATTTGTAAATGCTATGACGAATCGATCTCACACAAACTTTTTTTTTGGCGTGATCTTTTATCAAGAAATTCGGCTGTTTCAAATCTGTGGTAATTTCATTTGTAATTGCCAACCGCTCATTTTTTGATAGTGAGATAGTGACGAGAGTCGTTTAATCATGTTAGGAACATAACAACAATCAATAAAAATCAAACATTTTATAATTTTTCTTTTTATAAACGCCTCCTTTCCAGGTGAAATCCATAACAAGCCCTATTTATTGTATTGTGAATTTTACCTTAATATTGTGGGAAACAGTTCTGTAGTGATAACATATACTAATTTATAATTCATTGCTGCTGCAAATTTCCCCATCATTGCAAGTACGACGCTTGTTACTGTGAATCCTGTTGAACGAGTTAAAAAATACATAAATTAAGAAAGATGGGAAATTCAATATGAAATATAATTAAATCCACAAGGCCTGGAGTGTGTAGAAGATGGGATCATACAGATGAAGTTTTTAGCTAACACAATTTTTTTTATATTGTTTCAATTTTAATTTCGTTCAGATGTCTTCAACTTGAGACAATAAAACTTTGGAGTTCCCTTCAGTTTCTCCTGACTTAGAGAGATCTTGAGAAAATATCAAAATAAGTTCACCTTGCAGTCTAAAGAGCATGCTAGTAAGGCAGCTTATACCAGTGAAGCAAAAGGAACACGCTAGAAGATTCGATTTCGAAAATTTTTTTACTGCAAATATTGTTCCAATACAGGCGAACACGTCCATGAATGAGTTTATGACTCCGTTGATATATGGGTTACCTGCAGTGAACAAAGTATTATTGAAATTGTTTTTTGACGTAACAGGCTATGTCATATCGGATATGAACTTTGTCTTTAGCATTAAGGCGTTCGAGAAGGTATACAGCTATTAAGCCAGAAATTTGAGACTTGAAATGCAAATTAGAAAGTACAAAAATAAAAAGTATAACCCAATTACCAGCAAGATTTCCGATGTTGAGAACTAATCCATAAAATACCATCGATGCCACGAACCACGAAAGCATAACGTTGAGTGTAATTATACGAACATGTACTGGTTTAAACAAATCCAAGGTCGAATATTTATTTTGTTTTTTGGATTCCAAACGTTTCAACTGAAATACATAAAAACATATTTAAACGATTACTATAACTGTGAAAAAAGACGCAGGTTTATAGAACTTCATAAAACAAACGACAGTATCAATCGATGTATCTGGCAGGTACCCATCTGTAGATTCTATGAATAAACTGATGCTATTACCCATTGATTCCAGAGGTTTTATCAAACACGGTGTTAAATAAGTTGAAAGTACGCCAATTTTGTACACCATTATAGAAACGACAGTTTACACCATTAATCTTTGAATATTTGAGTCCACTTACGCGCTCAAGTTCCAAAACACATTTCCACTTTTCTTTTTTTAAATGTGTTCCTTTCGATTTGCAATATCTTTTAACGACTTTCTTTGCCGATTTTTCTTGTCCAATGGAAAGTAGCCATCTTATACAAAAAGGAATATTAATGTCTGTATGAAATACAAACAATATTTGTATTATTTTTTTATAATAATTAGAAAAATAGATTAGATTATATAGCATATGATTAAGTAAAACTCACATATCACTGCTGTAAATTAAACACACCACGACTGCAAGATATTCGATAAGTATTCGGAGGTCATTTTACCTTGGAGATTCGGAGATGAAAAAGTGACTTGGCACATACAATATAGATATGACTCCTGAGTATATTAAAATGTGCCTCCAATGACGCAAAAAATAAGATGCAATCGACGTGGACACATCACCTAGTGTTCCTATCATTGAAACGAAAAGGAGCATTTCTTGTCTCCTTCCTTTGCTGGATATTTCACTAACTAAAATATAAAGAAATATGTCAATGAAAAAAACCTGGATTTGCGGTTTGCAGGCAAAACGATTTACTAATTGTCTTTACTTTGTATCAGTGAATCATGATAAATATTACAAATGTTTAATTTTAATGTTTCATAATAGGTACAATGCAGTTGCAGTTGAACAAAAAGAATTACAGCTAATAAATAATGTGTTTATAATAAAATATTAATTTATTCAATTTTGAATCAGTTGTGCTCGATAAAATCAAAAGTGTTTTTAAATAATACCATTCGTCGTCCAAAAATATCCCCGTAAAACTATACGACAAAAATCTGCTCTTACCGTAAGTATATGCAACAATGTATCTTGTCAAAGAAGTACTCGCAAACAGTACATACATCACCATATATGTATTATAACTAGGTGCAAACGCTGTGGCTAAACTAAGTAAGGTGGCTAAAATAGCACCGCCAAGCATCGATGATTTACGACCAAACCTGTCGGAATATAAATGTAGTTCAAATAAAAATATAAAATAGCGGACTGTAATATATATGTCAGAGTCGCCAAAACAAAATGTCTCAATTTTGTCCATAAACTGCACATGATATAAACTGCAGGTTTGAATTTAAAGTATAGAACAGATCATATTCACAACAATAGTGTATAGCAAGATCACTGTACTATAGAATTATAAAAAATATACCATAGAGACAATAAACGAAATACTCACCAATCTGCCACCAATCCTATCATTATCGATCCCAGGAGAAATCCGAGAAAAGTTGCTGAGTTAGCGAGAGTCTTCAAGATTGTACGATCGCAAACAAGGTCCCACTAAAACAAAAATTCCTATTAATGAAAATAAACTATCCATAGTAAAGAACATTCCGGTGCAGATATTTACATTCTTTTGATCGTGACGTATTTATTAACAATTATAGACTTATATTTAGAACAGAGAAGTTATAGGAAAACCTTTTTCATATTCATGTCAGCGTTATAAATATTTAAGTTTCAACAATACATATCAACAACTATACTATACTAGAGGACAAGGTGATGTCATTTACACTAAGTGGTGGGTAGAAATAAATATCTGGGTTTCAATAAACTTATGGTCAAAAAACAGAAGCCCTTCGTCATTTGGTGATATGGTTTCAACCTTCAAAATTAAGTTACTGCACTGAAGTTTGTATTATTTAAAAAATGTTTGATATCCAAGTTTGTAAAAAGACGCGTTTTCAGCGATTACTACCTATATATGTTATCATAATGTCAACTCAGCCTCGAATATTAACAGCTTATTACCTCAGTAGTTATAGATTCGGTGTAAACATTTCTATCGTAGTCATATCTGTTGCATTCTTTCACTGCGCTGGAGACGGAGATATTCCCTGTACATAACTCAGTCATGTTTGTAGTATTACAAGAAGTTCCATTGAGTATATACTGATTGCACGAATTATATTCCTGTGCAATAAAATAATAAATCTTTTGAAAGGGGCTGATAGTATAGAAAAGCACGATCGTTTTTTTAGTTTCGTTATCGTACGAAATTTACTTGTGAGTGACTAAATGTAACTTATAAAGGTTCGCTATCTAGAATTTGATAGTGTCGAAGTTATTGCTTCTGAACGCTGAGGTGCACGATTCTAGTAATTTCAATTAGAAATATATAAGTGCTTGCTCGACAAATTTTCCTTCATTTGGGCATATTAGACGAATGAAACTTCTCATATCATCCAAGACACCTGTCTGGGGTTTGGGTGTTCTTCAACAAGGTTTTTCTGAAAGATTGATTAGGATAAGCTTTATTGTGAGAATTTAGGACATACCTTGCTAGATGTCTTCGGAATTAATTTGGTCGTGATATCTTTTGTAAGATGAAATTGATTAGAGATATTCTTCACTGAAAATGAACATCTGAAATAAAACTTGTACATGCACTCCCAATCTTTGCAGTTCAATCACAGGTCTATTTTATTATTATGAAACCGTTTGAATGTTATAGAGTCACACAAAGTTGTCGTTTTCCTGACTCTCAACGGAATCCACGTGATTCAACTCTGGACAAGTTACCAACTCTCATGGACCATGGTTATATTAAAATAGCCATACCTGCATTTGTTTAAATTGGATATTTTACTTAACATTAAATGTTATTCAGACGAAATTTCAAACAATGCAGTTATGTCTCTTGTTGTCCTGATCGTCCAAACCAAACAATATGTCTTCACGATACAACGTATAACTTAACAATTATATGTGTTATTGCGAGAGCACGTATATGTTGGTGGAAATGCAGTAGATGAAAGTCAATGCTCATGACTCCACTTGTAAAGCTCTTGTAACCTAATTTACGTGTTATAAGCTTCAAATGACAATAGCATTACTTTTCGATGTAGTAACGCTCAACATCGAGATAAACATGCGTAGTTGTAACGTTCTGTGTTAGAAAGGCAGTTGAATATTACCTATATTTATAAATATAAGATCGAAAAATAGCGATAACGTTAGATGTCGAAACTTACCTAAACTCGGGTGTAGCACTGAGATAAACTGGCATAGTCGTAACAGTGCAGCTACCAAATATCAAAATTGATACCGCGAGAGCCGAAGCAATTTGATAACGACTCATTCCACCCATTTCATCTAAATATTCATCAAACTCCATTGATGCATCTTCACTTTTATTTTTTTGTTTCTTGTCCTTTATAATATTTAGCGTAGCTTCTTCCATGGCGCATAATATTACAACAAGACTGCTATTTATTATCACTGAAGACAAACAGTCATTTAATATTAGAGTAATGAGAAAACCAAATACTGGGCATGCATATCGCCTGCTCGAGTAAATTCAATTAGGTCAATATTACATCATGAAGAATTTTTGTTGTTTGCAGTTTAGTAGCATTCTACTGCAATACTAGCAACCGCCTTATGCGTGAAATAAATTTTATTCTTAAAAAAGCATTTATGTATAAACAAATATAAAGGCTGTGCTCGCTATTCAAAAAGAGGGGAGAGTTGAGGATCAGACCCCTTTTTTTGAAATGTGCAAACAAGCAATTTTCCGTATCAAACATAACTAAGCCACTTGATACCACTTGATAAAAATTCAAGTTTTCCGGCCTTTCGACCCGCTAACTGTTACGGTATAACCTGGCGCTTTTACAAATTTCAGACCTGGCCCTTCAAAAATTACTGCCTACGCCCCTGGGAGGAAATATAAACATTTATCGACTCGTATCTCAATACGGAAGACTAAACCCTGCAAGAAGACGAATGCTGAACTATTCAGGCCACCAATGAGTATATAACATTTAATCATCGTACGCGGCTTATTTGTAAATGGGAAAAAATAGTTTTATAGTTTGTAGTGCAATAAAATGTGTTCTCAATCCTTCTGAATTGACAACTAATTATGGATTGATTATACATATAGTCTGGTCACTCTGCAGTCTACACATTTCTTTTATTTTCTCTGTGCTACTAATAAAGGCGGCTAGCAACAATAAACGTGAACTTAATTGGCCCATTCTTCTAACGTTGTTGGGTAGCCATACATGTCAAAAGGTTTCCTTCCATGCATATACTACTATGATGGGTGCGATTTTCTGCGCAGCTTTCTAATTAACTCCTTGATAAATTACATCAGCAGGCCTAACTAATTTAGATACAGATGATGTACATAAACTAATATAATATTTAGCAGTTTTCATTTCGAAATTTGTTCTTTTGTAAAAAATAGGTTTCCTGCTGTGTTGTGTCGCGGATATCAAATCTAATTTTCACTCGCTGATTAGAACTTTACATGTAGCAATGCCTTGAATTTTTGTATCTAAATTGTCTTGATATTTACACTTTCGCTGGTTTCATACAATGATCCTCTGTGGCAAATAATCAAACTAAAACAGCGGCCTAAACGTGTATATCAAGTGCTATAGTTTTATTTTAGATATGTTTTGTTTTATTGAAAAAAAAGCACTTCAAATCAACGTTCGCCCCAATACCCAAAGAAATTTTAAATTGCGATAAAAAAAAATGATTCATAGAGCGCGTGAAATAAATCTACTACTAAATGAAGATGCTTATTTCATGCCTCTTTCCAAGTAGAATGAATGCGTGTGTGAAATCTGAAACGCTATATACACACTAAACGGACTAAAATTCATTGTCATAATTTTTATCAGAAATAATAAAATAGGTTATTAGGACAGCTATTTTTGTAAATCTTAGAATGGGGGTAAGATTGTCCTTTATTTTGGATGTTTGGTACATCCGTGACACAAAATGGTATTGATGCAGAGAGGGGTCGGCTATGCGAGACAAACTGGTAATCCTTCCTTTGCTATGCGCCAAGTAGACACGAGAACTACCATCTCCCGTGAAATAATTTTCTGCACGCCAACACGAATGTATTCTTGTACGTCTTTGCAAGATGAAAAGGTACAAAAAATACATTTGCGTTAGTGTGCAGTGAGACCCTTCACTTGGATCATGCTGCAATTTCGAAAAGATACTCAACGCGCTTAACCTAGTAGATATAGGACACTATTCTTAATTTTCCTTGCATCTATCTATAGAAAAAACTTAAAGTACCCATTACAACTTCGACACGCTATCATTATTTCCGAGTACCAAGTGCTCACTATTTAGTCTCAAAAGTCATATGGAATTAAATGGGAATCATGCTATTGAAAGAAAATCGATGAATAAAGAAACGTCCCGCCGTTGCACAGCTGGCTTATAATGATTGTCGATAGAAATCGATACCAGTATAAGAGATCCCAAGCAAGTAGTGATACTGGTGATTTGATATTTACTGTGTCTGTATCTGTATTGATGCATTATCTTAGATTTCCATTAACAGTTTTAATCAAAATCAGTTTCTTGTTCATATTGCTAAGAAACTTACAGATCTCTCATTCAGTACTATTGAACTTGACGCACATACAACAATATAACGTAATCGCTTTCATTTAATACGGATAAATCATATGGCGAACCACGGCCTCTCGTTTGGTTACCATTCTATGTCGGGAATGGGATTAGTTAGCTAGTTATTCGGAAGCAGAACTTGGTGGTGGAGGAAGTCGTACCGACCAGCGTTTACTTGAACCTTCCTACGGCGGCGAGGAATTCGGCAATCGTATTGCACATAACTATCCCCGCATGGGATTCGAACTTGCAAACCCACGTAGGTTAGTCAGAGGTGAGGTAGAGAGGCGAGCGTACTCCTAACGCTTAGCGCGATGCTCCACACCTCCGTAGACTCACATAGTAAACTCTCGAATTGATTCAAGAGTCTTGTACATTTCAACCATGACAAGAAAGGCGATAACATGCAGATGAATAATGAGTATCATAGGGATAAGTTGAGAAAAATGGAATTGCGATAATTTAGAGAATAATAGAAAATACAAGTGTGGGTAATCAATGAATATACCCGCGGATTTGGGGCAACTGATTAGAAATTAAATTAAACTATTGCACGTCGTTCTTCGAGACCCCGGGAATGTTGTTTGTGAAGTTTTTGACTAAAATGTCGAGTGCATGTTGATGGAACATTATTTCACTTTAGAAAGGATGAGAGGCAAGAATCGAACATTTAAGCGTACATAATGATGAGATTAATAAATAATTCGAAATTTTATCTATCTAGTAAATTCATTGAATATAAGGTTCAAAATCTGAGAATTCAGAACATTTACATTTTCCATTTGATTTTGTTCTACTACTCGCTGAAAGAGCCCCACTGTGAGATATTTGAATGATTGCATGTACTTACATTTTTTGTTGTAGTTGAGGTGTAGAAGGTAGTTATGTTCAGGCTTACTCAAATAGGTAAATGCACGTATAATGAGAAGTTAAATATATACATTTTTATGTAAATATGTTAATCGGGGCAAGTTATTCAAAATATTTATAATACCTTAAGGATTGTCTTTACCGCGTTGGTTTTAAATAAACATTGCAGATGGGACTACAAAGTATGTCCGGTTTTACATATATTCATTGAATTTTTCCATTGGTATGCTAGGCAGGGGTCCGCAACTACTTTTTAGCGCGACCCAAAAAAAAATTTTCTAACTTCTCGCGACCCAAGTATTTGGTAAACATGTAATTAGTTATCGATTTTAAGACTATTGTCCACACTAGCATTCTTCTTGCACAAAATTATATGAAACTTATCACATAAAATTGTGAATAATAGCGTTTATTTTGACTAATGCAAATTATAAGCTTTGTGTATAATACACAACATATCAAATCGAGGTTTAATTTTGGAGACGGCAACTCGAAGATATTTTTTCTACCTCTAGCCTTGATCTGTAATTGTATTTTATGTATAAAAACGCTGATAGGCGGGAAAAAATGTATTGGTTTTTTAATGACTTTTGGATGCTTTGCTGTAAGATACACGTGAAACCAATCTTCATACATTATTCGTTGTTATTCCGCTTATATGTATGGTTTGTGTGATGTATTTACATCTGATGAGGGTGAGAAGATGAGTCTTTTGTCGGGCGTTGATCCCCACTGCTATAAGTGCTCCGTACGGAGCCTGAGGGCTCCGCGAGCTATTCGTTCACTTAAAAAAAATTGATTTGGTTAGTTTTGTATCTGTGAAGAAGCATTGACGTCACTAATAAAATTTGACGATGGTGGTGTCAAAATGTGGTAGTGATTCAAATATAACAGGATCTATGACTAAGGGCGCAGCAGCCATGGTTTTTCAAAAGGGATGGGGTTCAGAATAGAAAATTCCCGAGCAATCCTCATCGCTCAATCCATGGCCGACCCGAGAATTTAAAATGTCTTGTCATATCAATTCAATTGTGTTCATCGTTGCTCGCCTTTGAGTTGACTAATATACTACGGCAACCATGAAATACTTGTTAAACCTTCTACTAGCAATGAATGGATTGAAATCGTATTTTTCAGTTGCTCTTTCAGCACTTAGGATTATCGCAATGTTTCGTTGTTAAGGGAGAGTTTGCAGTTTTGATGAAGCCAATTATATTTGATACCTTCATATCGAATTCGGTCTATGCATAAATTTATCAGTGATTTCTTGATGCAGTGATGGGACAAATATCGGCCGACACAGTGAAATGATCAAACTTTCATTGAAGGGTTTAGATCAGGGGTCGGCAAACTACGGCCCGCGGATTCGGATATAAAGTTTAGTGTGGCGATCGGGTCGTGGATAAAGCGTCGTTAAGTCAGGTACTGAATAGTATAGCACCGTAGGTAAAAGATAGGTAAGTTGTGGCAGCTAGGGCAGTCTGTCGAGAATAGGTATAGGTTGAGGGAGATAGGGCAGTAGGTTGAGAGAAGAAAGGTTGAGGGAGATAGAGCGGAGGTTCGAGGATGTGAAAGTTGGGTAGATAGGGCAGTGGGTCGAGGATAGGAAGGTTGAGGGAGATAGGGCAGTGGGTCGAAGATAGGAAAGTTGAGGGAGGTCGGGCAGTGGGTCCAGGATAGGTTAGTAGATGGAGATAGGGCAGTGGGTCGAGGACAGTTTTCGAGTAAACGAATAGCTCGCGGAGGCCCTAAGTGTCTTTAACAGAGTCCTGAGGCTCCGTGCGGAGCACTTCGAGAACCTAAAGTCTACGTAGTAGGATATAACAATGCGAACAACTAAGTAACGAATGTTTCCCCGACTTTTGATCTTTTGAATTCTTCCTCTTTACACTCTACCATTGCAAAATGATCGGTACTTATTTCAAAAATAGTTTTGCGAGTTTAGGACTTATATTTACCAAAACACAACTAAAATCTAACAAATAACACGCGAAAACCGACAAAACGAGGTAATATCCACAATCATGAAAATCTGTCTGAATGACTAAATCAGTGGTCGGCATCCACCGGCCGAGGCCCATCGCCGGTCCGCGGAAAGGTTACTACCGGTCCGCAGAAACGTGACGAAAAAGACGGACAATGTCCTAATAACATCTTAAGTTGATTGAAATTTCAAACAATAATGAGTTGAAAAGAGTCTTTGCAATTCATAGGGTAGCTACTTTGGCAATCTTTTGGGCAATACTGCTATCTAAATACCCCGGCATTGCAAAAGAAAAGCTTTTACATGCATTTTTACATTTATGTGATATCGGGTTTTCAAAGTTGACAACTACAAAATTGCAGTAGGCCAAAAGTAAGAAACACGTTACTTGAATAGCATCACTTTTATTTTTAAATTTAATATCAACCTAAATTTAAAACGTTTATTGTTACGTCAAATTCTGCACTTATGCTGATTGGCCAATGTTATAATTAGAGTTTTATATAGTTGTTATACCTAAATTCGGTACACATACGCGATGCTTTTATTTATGGTAAATTTAAATTGTTTTGCGACCCAGCGTGGAGAACTCCGCGACCCAAACTTGGGTCGCGACCCCGTATTTGCGGACCCCTGGTGTGCCCAATGTTTTGCTAGCCAGATTTCCCCTATGAAAAATGCAATGCGTAAAATTGATATGGGGTGCAATTTGTAATACTCTTGCTAAAAATCTTTGTTTTTCCGCCATGGCTCCAGCCCTATCAGTACAAATACACCGCTCCCATGATAATTCATCATTCTGTAGTCTCGTCGCCACTGCTGAGAATATGTCTTGACCAGTGCATGTTCCAGAAAGCGCCAAGCACATGAGTAACTTATATACCTAACGAACACAATCAACTGCGCTTAACCAGACGTATCCGTGGATTCATCCAATTGCAAAGCGTGTTTTCCTCCTTTGACTCTATCAATCAGTTGGCACCTAATATCTTGACCCATTTCGCTAATACGTCGTCGAATGGTATCTACAGACATTGGTATTTCGGGGCTCCCGAAGTATGCGAACCAAGATGGCGGACATCGGAATGTAATATGTGTACTAGGTTAGGGTTAGGCCATAATTTTAGATATAAATACTACGGGAGGCTCTTGGCTAGTCTTCGAACTGATAATATGACTAAAATAAGGAAAATTGGAAAAAAATTATCGCCTAACCCTAACCTGTTACCCATGTTACGTTCCGATGTCCGCCATCTTGGTTCGCATACTTCGGGAGCACCGGTATTTCTTTCATTTCCTTAGTTACCTTGTCTCCATTCATAATTTGACTAATTGCAATAGTTTTGATTAGTGTTTCTCCAATGGTGTGTGTTTTTTTTATCTTTTGCGATTAAATATGCCACTTCATACAATGCCTTTAGAGATTTTTCTAAGATTGTGAGATACTTTGTCGTTGTTTTCTTTTCGCCTAACAATTCTTTTTCTGATCGGCGGGAAAAAGTATTGGTTTTTCAATGAATTCTGGATGCTTTGCTGTAAGATGGCGTTTCAATGTCACTGCTTTCAGGCTCTCGTTGGCAAGAACACCGGAACAAACAACACATTGAGGACGTGACTCATCATTTATAAGAATACACGTGAAACCAAGCTTTATAAATTCTTCGCTGTACTTCCGCTTATAAGGATGGTTTGAGTGATGTATTTCTATCCGATGAGGGTGAGGAGATGAGTCTTTTGTCGGGCGTTGATCCCCACTGCTTGAAAACGCAAAGATGTCTGAAGGTGCATGCGGTGTTCTGTTTTCACTTAATTTCTCCGTTGTATCTTCCGCTCGCGACTTTTTTTGAGTTTTGAAAGAGTTCTTCGGTAACCAGGTTGTCAACATTATTTGTGACTAAAACTACCTTTAAAATTCTTAACCCGCTAAATTTTGAATTTAACCAAGAATATCTTACAATAACAAATGTAACAGCACCCTAACTATTTAATTTAGAATGGACAAATCTCATCATCTGTCTTTATCAAGCAATTCCACACGACTACTGATAACCTCGCATTGCTACAAAACAATACAAATTTGGGTCGCGACCCCGTAGTTGCGGACCCCTGTGCTAGAGTGTGCTTAGATACATTCACATTTGAAAGCAACTTGTGTATCTTACCTGTGACGCATATGTTTGAAGTAGCTGTGAGAAGCTGTCCTGATAAAATTACACAAAGTTCGTAAGAAGTTTTACAGATATCTGTTGACAGATTCACGCTTTGATATGAATATGAAAATTACATTTTAGAATTGAGAATGCGTCTCGGTCAAATCTCCTTGCTCATCTTACTGACAATAAATACCAAAAACAGTCTGTGACATATTATTTATAATTCGTTCTTGATTGTATAAAAATTATTTAGAAAAATCAAGACATGAAACCAATTGAGCGTAGTAATAAGTATACGAACATGGAACACATAATATGGAAATTGTAAACTGTTATTATTGGAGATTTCATAAACTGAAGTTTTATCCATATCGTGAATCAATGTGTATGCAGCATTTGTGAACACATTATGTTCTGGATAAATATATATATGTCTGATCATAAAACAGATACAGTATTCACCTTATTGGTGTTAACCGATCATAAAAAATTATTGTTTAAAAATATAAAACCAGTTTTCAGTAACTGTCATTTATATTGAATTTATTGCAAATAATTGAAAATCTATTTCAGAATCTATTCATCAACCGAGACTTCATGCATAAAAGGCAAACAAAAACACACCAGCTGAAAGCATGAACAAGGCCCCAGTGTTAACTATGATGGCAGGCCATTTTTCTTCCGTAATATCAGCCATTTTCTTGTTTAACATCTCTTGCTCTTCTGATGTTAATGTAGGCGCCTTGTCTTCCTCCAGGCCACAAAATTTATTGAAGGCCTTCTTCCAGCCCGAGACAGGTTCTAAAAAAATTTGAGATAGATTGGAATACGCAAACAGACTTTTGTATTACAATTGCTCAAATTCATTTGGGCCCAACAAACACTTTAAAATCTGGATAAATCATGATATTGCACGATAAAATAGTGTGAATTACACTAGAAACTATTGAGTATGATGAACGTTAGAATTTGGTGTTAAACCTGAAATTCAATCCAAACTACACATTTTTGGACGAAGTCACACGCCGCTCTATTAAAACCATATCCCTAACCACGCAACAAACGTCCATCCAAGGTAATTAATACCAAACGGATATTCATTTAATATGTTTAATTTGTATATCAATAATCAATCAGTTATATTCAATAAAGGGAATATTCCAAATAAGATATCAAAAATATACAGGTCATCGTCATTTTTTTTAAGATCGTTGTTAAGCTTGCTTTGAAAAGCTGGGCTCAGTTTACAACTGAATTTCCCGTTATTATAATTTGTACGAACCTGCTGTAGATTGCTCACTAGAACTAACAGATGATGCGTCATCCCTTTTATCATTGCTCATGTCTAAAGCCGGATTATCTTGACCGCGTAAATTCTTGAAATAGAATGCAAAGAAAAGCAAAACGTTGAGTAATGCCGTTTTAGGATTCAATTTCTGAATATCACTTTTTGTATTTCGGCAGCAAAATGAATAAGTTGAAAAGTGTAGGAATTTTTTCAAACAAATTTTGAAAAAGGATCTGAACTTTATTGACAGATTTACGGGCTAATCTATAAAAATAAGCTCTATTGATATATGTTAGAAATATGAGAAATGTGCTGATCTTCTTTTATGCTGATTGAGCAAGAATCGAAGCTAGTAAAGATTTTATATAAAAATTATCATACTGGCTTAGTTTTCAGCTCCAATTCCTCAATATCTTTGCGTTTTCTCTTGCTATGCCGTGTCGACCATGTCAATCGTACAATCTGAAAATGAGTTTTATTTTAAACCAACACGTTGAATTTTAAACCTAATTTGTAGTCTGTATTTGTTTTCTATAAGAAAAATATGTTTGGCTGTTGCTTGCTTGAAATCGTTTTTTTGTTTTTTCAAATATACCTTTAATTATAATTACATTTTAGGCTCTCATCGGCAAAGTTTCAATAGTTTAATTTGCATTTCTAAAATATCTCTCCAAATGTTAACCAGTGATCGATTTATATAAATAGTAAGTAAAAATAGAAGTATACTTACATATTCCTTGGGGATGGGTGGTGTTAAATATGATACAATTACGGATATCATCACAGATAAACCAAAAAGAAGCATTCCGAAATGCAAGTAATGAACTTTGGTAAGTATGAACGGTCGAAAATCCGGATCCGGACAGTTGGGTGCCCCGACTCCAAACTCCATACACATTCTACACAATCCGATGAACATTCCAAGTACGAGACCCCAAAATGCTCCCTTAATATACAATATACAAATACAATAACATTATTACAAAAACTTGACTCCGACAATGAGATGTTCCATTTTTGATCATGAGTGTAAAATATAAAATTCATCAGAAGTTATTCATAAAAATATATCCAATTAGTAGCATGTTTTGAGAAAACATGCATAAAATTTCACACTACAATCATATTCAAGCGGGGTGGGATCAAGATGTTGCGGGACGGTAAACTTGTCGGTGTATATATTTCCTTATCTATATATTGTTAAGACCTATAATATGGAATTTCGAATTGCTTTTGCCCGTATTCTATAAAGCAGGTCTACTCAACTATAGTGGGCCTTTCAAGTATTCGATTCGAACTTCATTTGATACTTTATTTTGGAGCTTTGGCACCATTAAATTTGTATATGTGGATGTTTTATTTTATCGAATAGCTTTTATTTATAGTTTTGAAAGAGTTTTTTTTTTTATAATTTGCTCATATGCACTACATACAAAAAGAACTGTGACGGCATAATAAACATTGCGAATATCGCCGTCTTGATTAGCGAATTAACAATAATCAGGAAACTACAGCGCACGGTTGAGTCACTGAACTATATTTAGCCGCACTGCAAAATATATTTCTGTAAACACATGACCCGAGGAGTTTTGTATATACGAATATTTGTTATAAATAGTTGAGCAGTCCTGCTTCGAAATACCGAGACGCTAGAAGCTCAGTGAGCAGAAGATATGGTGTTCAAATCAATATTATCTTTATAGGTATTCGAGAATTCTGATGAAGCATAATTTCCCGAAGTATGCGAACCAAGATGGTGGACATCGAAACGTAACATGGGTAACAGGTTAGGGTTAGGCGATATTTTTTTTCCAATTTTCCTCATTTTAGTCCTATTATCAGTTCGAAGACTAGCCAAGAGCCTCCCGTAGTATTTATACCTAAACTTATGGCCTAACCCTAACCTAGTACACATATTACATTCCGATGTCCGCCATCTTGGTTCGCATACTTCGGGAGCACACATAATTTTTTATAATGGTTTGGCCTATATTTAAAGAAGAAAATAGTAAACACATTACTGGTTCGTTCATCCTTTGCCAAAACACCGCAAGAACGAATACTGCAGTTATTGGAGGGGCAAGGAAACTTGTAATAGCTTGAATGTAATCGAATAGTCTTCCGCTAGCAGCAGCTTGCACAATGGGAATCCATAATATGCTGACTACTACCATGATGAGAATAAAAATTCTGTAAAGAAAAAGATTTTCGCACATTAATTTTCCAGATATTCTGCTGGGCGAAAGACAAGCTATCAAAGTAAAGGTGTAAATTTAATCATAGGTAACAAGATTTTTACCTTCCGACAATCATAAGCTCTCGCGTTTTTGCTTCAGGTCTAATCTTTGTCCAAAGATCACATGTAAACAGAGTACTTGCACTATTGAAAACCGAAGTTAACGATGACATCAGAGCAGCTATCATAACCGCCAATAGAAGGCCTGTCAGCAAAATTGATCAAAATATATGTATGCGTCATCTAGTTTATTCAAATTTTATACATTTTATACAACAGAAAATGTACGAAAAAAGGGGATAAGCGAAAACGAGAATAAAATCGGGGTCGGGAAAAGAGAGTCTAAGAAAAAAATGGACAGAACTAAGTAGAACAGATCGCGGAGGAAAAGGATTATAGTCAAAATGAAACTAACACGAGAAAAAATGCAATACAGAGGGTTGATGTGACGAATATAATCTTTTCTTGTTGGGCAAAGGTGGAAAACAACACTCACAGTTCAATTGGTTTCGTATACACTTAGAAGAAAAGGTAAATATTGAAGTGTCGTTAAGAGACGGGATCACGAAAGACTAGTTATTTAATATAGCTGTGAAATATACCCAAAGATTATATTACTGTATGAAGATGCATTTTCGGATTTTTCTGATGATATTATTTCTATGACAATAGCGGTAATAAATAAATCCTAAACATTAAACAAGCATGACATGCGTTCGCAAAGGATTTTTATCAATCCTGTTGAGTCATAATTCATATTTACTTCAGCATCACGATTAAGTTTGCTTTATTGTCAACCCGTTATCTGGATTAAATAAATTCTACGGGTAGCGACCGATACTGGCCAGATAAACGTATCAAAATACGTCACTGAATACACACACGGTGGTAAAGTAAAGATACAGTAAACGTTGTCGGTATGTAACAGAATTTATAACTAATGGCCTAAGTATAAGGTATACCGAAGTGCAATTGTTTTTGGTTAATTTAGCATTCTTCACCAGAATTTTATTCAATTTTTTTAAACTGTGTTTTGGGAAATTTCGAGTCAGACAATTGCAATCAGGTGAAATGCACTGATAATTGTATTCCTAGTGTATTTTCTAAGAAATAATGAAATATTTTAGAAAATCTCGTCATTTGTCTCTCAGAAGTTTCATGTATCAAACTCGTTCTTTTTATGTAGCTCATATTTGAAAAATAATGTAATATAATAAAAAAAAGAATTGTAGCATGGCGCAATGATGACAAGAACGATAATGTGAGAATAAATTAGTTAATTTTTAACAAAGCGTAGATTTTTATTGTATCATTGTTCAAACAGACCCTGGCAATACTGAAACGGGAATATTAGTATAATATCATCAGATATTCTCAACCAACGGTGATGTCGAAATCATATTATTTGGCCACATATTGATCACCCTGGTTAGAAAAATACTTGATATAAAGTGATACAAATGATTTAATATTCATTGATACTAATTGATATCAGATGTCACAAATATTCATGCCTTCTCCTGTAAAAAGTGTGTAGTTCCAACATTTTTACACTATTCTAATGATTTCGTCAAGTTCTAATAATTGATACTTGAAGCAATTAGACATCTAAATAATAATAAAATAAAAACTCAGAAGATACCTTTCAGTCCTTGAGGCATAATGTACAACACCAGCTTTGCATAAGCATAATTCGAACATCCTCCCGGGTTTCCACATGCTTCTGTGCAAACTGCGGGGTCAGCACACGCTACAGAATCTGTAACAAATAAAGACTAAAAGTTATTGAATGAAAGTTGAAAATAAAGTTACAATGAAAGATTTTGATTTCGAGAGTTACCTCTAAGATTTAAATTTAGTCTCGTATTATTTGTATCGGCGACTGGAGACCCTTCCAATCAATGCTAACAACAAAAAAGTTAAAATACTGTAATACTAGTGTAAGTTATCTTACTGGGGTAAACAATCCTACTGATCATTCCGACCATGACCATCATGTACATAGGTGTGAATTTTAGAAGTCCGGCAAAAACGCAACCTCCTTTGGCATGAGATAAATTTTTCGCTGCCAGCGTTCTTTGAACGATGACCTAGAATATTGGAAAACAAATTAATAAAGATTTTATTCCTGTGATTATAAATATATAATAGTTTTTATCTTTCCATCTCGTAACCTTGGGCGAGATATTTCAGTGATGTATAATTTTCAAACGACGAATATTGTAAGAATGAATATAATTAGAAGTTGTGTTAATTAGTTTAGCTCTTTATGCTCCGTACACTAATCGTCACTGCAAACAAATTCCACCAAATTTAAGAGAACAATAAATGTTTAGGATAAATGTATTCACTAAAAATCATCTTAAAAATATATATGATACAAAGCGGTTATCACAGGTTATTGTGTCGGTGGTGCAGTACAATACATGTATTACATTCCCAAACATTACCTGATCTGTGCACCAGTACCAGGTTGCAATAATTGTAATTCCAAAAAGCATTCCAGGCCAAGGCAAATCGCTTGTTTTTGCATCACGAAAAACATGGAATGCGTCCTCTCTAGGACATCCACAAGTTGTGTTTTTGGGTATTATCGATGGTATTGCTTCCATATAACAAGGTTCTAGATTTTCATATCCCCCAATTTCTTGAAATGCTTTAATATAATAACACGCTTGTGAACGTTTTTTCCTATGCCGGAATAGAAGACTAACAGTAATTAATTAACTATGCAGTTGCAGAATTCATTAACGTATGAAAATAATTATATAGCCTAAAGGTTGGATAAAAAATGAATTCTGGATGCTTTGCTGTAAGATGGCGTTTCAATGTCACTGCTTTCAGGCTCTCGTTGGCAAGAACACCGGAACAAACAACACATTGAGGACGTGACTCATCATTTATAAGAATACACGTGAAACCAAGCTTTATAAATTCTTCGCTGTACTTCCGCTTATAAGGATGGTTTGAGTGATGTATTTCTATCCGATGAGGGTGAGGAGATGAGTCTTTTGTCGGGCGTTGATCCCCACTGCTTGAAAACGCAAAGATGTCTGAAGGTGCATGCGGTGTTCTGTTTTCACTTAATTTCTCCGTTGTATCTTCCGCTCGCGACTTTTTTTGAGTTTTGAAAGAGTTCTTCGGTAACCAGGTTGTCAACATTATTTGTGACTAAAACTACCTTTAAAATTCTTAACCCGCTAAATTTTGAATTTAACCAAGAATATCTTACAATAACAAATGTAACAGCACCCTAACTATTTAATTTAGAATGGACAAATCTCATCATCTGTCTTTATCAAGCAATTCCACACGACTACTGATAACCTCGCATTGCTACAAAACAATACAAATTTGGGTCGCGACCCCGTAGTTGCGGACCCCTGTGCTAGAGTGTGCTTAGATACATTCACATTTGAAAGCAACTTGTGTATCTTACCTGTGACGCATATGTTTGAAGTAGCTGTGAGAAGCTGTCCTGATAAAATTACACAAAGTTCGTAAGAAGTTTTACAGATATCTGTTGACAGATTCACGCTTTGATATGAATATGAAAATTACATTTTAGAATTGAGAATGCGTCTCGGTCAAATCTCCTTGCTCATCTTACTGACAATAAATACCAAAAACAGTCTGTGACATATTATTTATAATTCGTTCTTGATTGTATAAAAAATTATTTAGAAAAATCAAGACATGAAACCAATTGAGCGTAGTAATAAGTATACGAACATGGAACACATAATATGGAAATTGTAAACTGTTATTATTGGAGATTTCATAAACTGAAGTTTTATCCATATCGTGAATCAATGTGTATGCAGCATTTGTGAACATATTATGTTCTGGATAAATATATATATGTCTGATCATAAAACAGATACAGTATTCACCTTATTGGTGTTAACCGATCATAAAAAATTATTGTTTAAAAATATAAAACCAGTTTTCAGTAACTGTCATTTATATTGAATTTATTGCAAATAATTGAAAATCTATTTCAGAATCTATTCATCAACCGAGACTTCATGCATAAAAGGCAAACAAAAACACACCAGCTGAAAGCATGAACAAGGCCCCAGTGTTAACTATGATGGCAGGCCATTTTTCTTCCGTAATATCAGCCATTTTCTTGTTTAACATCTCTTGCTCTTCTGATGTTAATGTAGGCGCCTTGTCTTCCTCCAGGCCACAAAATTTATTGAAGGCCTTCTTCCAGCCCGAGACAGGTTCTAAAAAAATTTGAGATAGATTGGAATACGCAAACAGACTTTTGTATTACAATTGCTCAAATTCATTTGGGCCCAACAAACACTTTAAAATCTGGATAAATCATGATATTGCACGATAAAATAGTGTGAATTACACTAGAAACTATTGAGTATGATGAACGTTAGAATTTGGTGTTAAACCTGAAATTCAATCCAAACTACACATTTTTGGACGAAGTCACACGCCGCTCTATTAAAACCATATCCCTAACCACGCAACAAACGTCCATCCAAGGTAATTAATACCAAACGGATATTCATTTAATATGTTTAATTTGTATATCAATAATCAATCAGTTATATTCAATAAAGGGAATATTCCAAATAAGATATCAAAAATATACAGGTCATCGTCATTTTTTTTAAGATCGTTGTTAAGCTTGCTTTGAAAAGCTGGGCTCAGTTTACAACTGAATTTCCCGTTATTATAATTTGTACGAACCTGCTGTAGATTGCTCACTAGAACTAACAGATGATGCGTCATCCCTTTTATCATTGCTCATGTCTAAAGCCGGATTATCTTGACCGCGTAAATTCTTGAAATAGAATGCAAAGAAAAGCAAAACGTTGAGTAATGCCGTTTTAGGATTCAATTTCTGAATATCACTTTTTGTATTTCGGCAGCAAAATGAATAAGTTGAAAAGTGTAGGAATTTTTTCAAACAAATTTTGAAAAAGGATCTGAACTTTATTGACAGATTTACGGGCTAATCTATAAAAATAAGCTCTATTGATATATGTTAGAAATATGAGAAATGTGCTGATCTTCTTTTATGCTGATTGAGCAAGAATCGAAGCTAGTAAAGATTTTATATAAAAATTATCATACTGGCTTAGTTTTCAGCTCCAATTCCTCAATATCTTTGCGTTTTCTCTTGCTATGCCGTGTCGACCATGTCAATCGTACAATCTGAAAATGAGTTTTATTTTAAACCAACACGTTGAATTTTAAACCTAATTTGTAGTCTGTATTTGTTTTCTATAAGAAAAATATGTTTGGCTGTTGCTTGCTTGAAATCGTTTTTTTGTTTTTTCAAATATACCTTTAATTATAATTACATTTTAGGCTCTCATCGGCAAAGTTTCAATAGTTTAATTTGCATTTCTAAAATATCTCTCCAAATGTTAACCAGTGATCGATTTATATAAATAGTAAGTAAAAATAGAAGTATACTTACATATTCCTTGGGGATGGGTGGTGTTAAATATGATACAATTACGGATATCATCACAGATAAACCAAAAAGAAGCATTCCGAAATGCAAGTAATGAACTTTGGTAAGTATGAACGGTCGAAAATCCGGATCCGGACAGTTGGGTGCCCCGACTCCAAACTCCATACACATTCTACACAATCCGATGAACATTCCAAGTACGAGACCCCAAAATGCTCCCTTAATATACAATATACAAATACAATAACATTATTACAAAAACTTGACTCCGACAATGAGATGTTCCATTTTTGATCATGAGTGTAAAATATAAAATTCATCAGAAGTTATTCATAAAAATATATCCAATTAGTAGCATGTTTTGAGAAAACATGCATAAAATTTCACACTACAATCATATTCAAGCGGGGTGGGATCAAGATGTTGCGGGACGGTAAACTTGTCGGTGTATATATTTCCTTATCTATATATTGTTAAGACCTATAATATGGAATTTCGAATTGCTTTTGCCCGTATTCTATAAAGCAGGTCTACTCAACTATAGTGGGCCTTTCAAGTATTCGATTCGAACTTCATTTGATACTTTATTTTGGAGCTTTGGCACCATTAAATTTGTATATGTAGATGTTTTATTTTATCGAATAGCTTTTATTTATAGTTTTGAAAGAGTTTTTTTTTTATAATTTGCTCATATGCACTACATACAAAAAGAACTGTGACGGCATAATAAACATTGCGAATATCGCCGTCTTGATTAGCGAATTAACAATAATCAGGAAACTACAGCGCACGGTTGAGTCACTGAACTATATTTAGCCGCACTGCAAAATATATTTCTGTAAACACATGACCCGAGGAGTTTTGTATATACGAATATTTGTTATAAATAGTTGAGCAGTCCTGCTTCGAAATACCGAGACGCTAGAAGCTCAGTGAGCAGAAGATATGGTGTTCAAATCAATATTATCTTTATAGGTATTCGAGAATTCTGATGAAGCATAATTTCCCGAAGTATGCGAACCAAGATGGTGGACATCGAAACGTAACATGGGTAACAGGTTAGGGTTAGGCGATATTTTTTTTCCAATTTTCCTCATTTTAGTCCTATTATCAGTTCGAAGACTAGCCAAGAGCCTCCCGTAGTATTTATACCTAAACTTATGGCCTAACCCTAACCTAGTACACATATTACATTCCGATGTCCGCCATCTTGGTTCGCATACTTCGGGAGCACACATAATTTTTTATAATGGTTTGGCCTATATTTAAAGAAGAAAATAGTAAACACATTACTGGTTCGTTCATCCTTTGCCAAAACACCGCAAGAACGAATACTGCAGTTATTGGAGGGGCAAGGAAACTTGTAATAGCTTGAATGTAATCGAATAGTCTTCCGCTAGCAGCAGCTTGCACAATGGGAATCCATAATATGCTGACTACTACCATGATGAGAATAAAAATTCTGTAAAGAAAAAGATTTTCGCACATTAATTTTCCAGATATTCTGCTGGGCGAAAGACAAGCTATCAAAGTAAAGGTGTAAATTTATTCATAGGTAACAAGATTTTTACCTTCCGACAATCATAAGCTCTCGCGTTTTTGCTTCAGGTCTAATCTTTGTCCAAAGATCACATGTAAACAGAGTACTTGCACTATTGAAAACCGAAGTTAACGATGACATCAGAGCAGCTATCATAACCGCCAATAGAAGGCCTGTCAGCAAAATTGATCAAAATATATGTATGCGTCATCTAGTTTATTCAAATTTTATACATTTTATACAACAGAAAATGTACGAAAAAAGGGGATAAGCGAAAACGAGAATAAAATCGGGGTCGGGAAAAGAGAGTCTAAGAAAAAAATGGACAGAACTAAGTAGAACAGATCGCGGAGGAAAAGGATTATAGTCAAAATGAAACTAACACGAGAAAAAATGCAATACAGAAGGTTGATGTGACGAATATAATCTTTTCTTGTTGGGCAAAGGTGGAAAACAACACTCACAGTTCAATTGGTTTCGTATACACTTAGAAGAAAAGGTAAATATTGAAGTGTCGTTAAGAAACGGGATCACGAAAGACTAGTTATTTATTATAGCTGTGAAATATACCCAAAGATTATATTACTGTATGAAGATGCATTTTCGGATTTTTCTGATGATATTATTTCTATGACAATAGCGGTAATAAATAAATCCTAAACATTAAACAAGCATGACATGCGTTCGCAAAGGATTTTTATCAATCCTGTTGAGTCATAATTCATATTTACTTCAGCATCACGATTAAGTTTGCTTTATTGTCAACCCGTTATCTGGATTAAATAAATTCTACGGGTAGCGACCGATACTGGCCAGATAAACGTATCAAAATACGTCACTGAATACACACACGGTGGTAAAGTAAAGATACAGTAAACGTTGTCGGTATGTAACAGAATTTATAACTAATGGCCTAAGTATAAGGTATACCGAAGTGCAATTGTTTTTGGTTAATTTAGCATTCTTCACCAGAATTTTATTCAATTTTTTTAAACTGTGTTTTGGGAAATTTCGAGTCAGACAATTGCAATCAGGTGAAATGCACTGATAATTGTAATCCTAGTGTATTTTCTAAGAAATAATGAAATATTTTAGAAAATCTCGTCATTTGTCTCTCAGAAGTTTCATGTATCAAACTCGTTCTTTTTATGTAGCTCATATTTGAAAAATAATGTAATATAATAAAAAAAATAATTGTAGCATGGCGCAATGATGACAAGAACGATAATGTGAGAATAAATTAGTTAATTTTTAACAAAGCGTAGATTTTTATTGTATCATTGTTTAAACAGACCCTGGCAATACTGAAACGGGAATATTAGTATAATATCATCAGATATTCTCAACCAACGGTGATGTCGAAATCATATTATTTGGCCACATATTGATCACCCTGGTTAGAAAAATACTTGATATAAAGTGATACAAATGATTTAATATTCATTGATACTAATTGATATCAGATGTCACAAATATTCATGCCTTCTCCTGTAAAAAGTGTGTAGTTCCAACATTTTTACACTATTCTAATGATTTCGTCAAGTTCTAATAATTGATACTTGAAGCAATTAGACATCTAAATAATAATAAAATAAAAACTCAGAAGATACCTCTCAGTCCTTGAGGCATAATGTACAACACCAGCTTTGCATAAGCATAATTCGAACATCCTCCCGGGTTTCCACATTTTTCTGTGCAAACTGCGGGGTCAGCACACGCTACAGAATCTGTAACAAATAAAGACTAAAAGTTATTGAATGAAAGTTGAAAATAAAGTTACAATGAAAGATTTTGATTTCGAGAGTTACCTCTAAGATTTAAATTTAGTCTCGTATTATTTGTATCGGCGACTGGAGACCCTTCCAATCAATGCTAACAACAAAAAAGTTAAAATACTGTAATACTAGTGTAAGTTATCTTACTGGGGTAAACAATCCTACTGATCATTCCGACCATGACCATCATGTACATAGGTGTGAATTTTAGAAGTCCGGCAAAAACGCAACCTCCTTTGGCATGAGATAAATTTTTCGCTGCCAGCGTTCTTTGAACGATGACCTAGAATATTGGAAAACAAATTAATAAAGATTTTATTCCTGTGATTATAAATATATAATAGTTTTTATCTTTCCATCTCGTAACCTTGGGCGAGATATTTCAGTGATGTATAATTTTCAAACGACGAATATTGTAAGAATGAATGTAATTAGAAGTTGTGTTAATTAGTTTAGCTCTTTATGCTCCGTACACTAATCGTCACTGCAAACAAATTCCACCAAATTTAAGAGAACAATAAATGTTTAGGATAAATGTATTCACTAAAAATCATCTTAAAAATATATATGATACAAAGCGGTTATCACAGGTTATTGTGTCGGTGGTGCAGTACAATACATGTATTACATTCCCAAACATTACCTGATCTGTGCACCAGTACCAGGTTGCAATAATTGTAATTCCAAAAAGCATTCCAGGCCAAGGCAAATCGCTTGTTTTTGCATTACGAAAAACATGGAATGCGTCCTCTCTAGGACATCCACAAGTTGTGTTTTCGGGTATTATCGATGGTATTGCTTCCATATAACAAGGTTCTAGATTTTCATATCCCCCAATTTCTTGAAATGCTTTAATATAATAACACGCTTGTGAACGTTTTTTCCTATGCCGGAATAGAAGACTAACAGTAATTAATTAACTATGCAGTTGCAGAATTCATTAACGTATAAAAATAATTATATAGCCTAAAGGTTGGATAAAAAATTTCAAAAAGACATTGTGTTTTTTGCACAAAAGCTTTCGAATTATCACCTAATGCATGATTAATTAGAAGCATAACATTCGGTTATTCCTGAGGCAATAAAACAATACATGAATATGGTTCTTGAATTAATTGGAATTTCTAAACTAAATAATTTGGAATATATTGAGCGAAATTAATTGATTGAGGTACTATTACTCACATAGGATCATCATGATAAAAGCACCAATAAGCATAATAACGGTTTGAGCTGTATCCGTGTAGATGACAGCCTTCAAACCTCCAGTAACTGTATAAAGTGCCGTGATTGCCAAGAGTCCAATAACGGAAGGGTACAGTCCCCAACCCAGTGCCTCAGTTATGAAAAGAGCTCCAGCAAAAAGATCGGCCTGTCACAAAATAAATATATATATACAATAATAATATCCTGTATAGATAAACTGTACAAAATAAAACACACACACACAAATTATATCCACGTATGGAAATAATCCAAAGATGATAAAGCAGAATAGAACTATCTGCCAAAAGAAATAGTCGTCAGAAAAAAAATTGGTAATAGAATGAGAATATGAGAACATAAACTATCGGACTTACTGAAATTTTAGTGAAGACATACATGAACAGAGACAAAATCGACAAAAATGGCTGAATGCGTTCTCCACCGAATCGTTTTGCCAAATACTCTGGCATTGTTACTACACCTCCCGCAATATATACTGGAGCAAATATCCAACCGAGGAATAGCAGAGTTACCATGGCCTGTGTGAAAATACAATCAGTAATACAAAGACAATTTTGTTTATATAATAATAACTAAAGTGATTTTCAGCTGTAAGACTCGACAATTTAACATATATGAAATATGTAAACTATGAAATAGAAGAATTTGTTAATCTGTCAAGGATTATTTATGAAAAAAGTGGTATGTATATATACTAAGTTTTCATTCGGTTATAAAAGAAAAGGTTATATAATGAATTATTGTTGTAAGCTTGAACGACATTAGGACGAACGAAACATTTCACGCCAGAACGTTACAGCATGGGTTTGGGGTTGGATACAATTGAACAATTGACCAGTAGTCTGCTAGCGAGACTTTCTCGTTGTAAAGCTAAAATATATATGTTATTTTCCATTGTCTTACATTCCATTCAAATGACCCTTGTGCTATTCCTGAAGCTGCTCCAGTACCAGCCAGTCCCACAAAATGGCCACTTCCAATATTGCTGCTGTATAAAGAAGCTCCTACAGGAAACCACGTCATGTCTCTTCCAGCTAAGAAAAATCCTGCTACATTTCCACGATCAGCCGTGAACATCGCCTTTTGTTAAAAACAGAACAGTGTGAGCAAGTCAGAATTATTTGAAGTATAATCAAGATTAGACAGATAGTACCTAAACACTCCAATTACCACGAATCTTCCATTTTTTAATAAATATATTGCGTAACCATACGAATTGATACGATGACCTATTTTGAATATAAAATTAGGTATCGTCTCTAAACAACGCTTTCATGATAGGGATAACATAGTTCTTTCACGCTGAGTATTTACTTCATTTAATACCTTTAAACACAAAATCTTACCCATATTCCAACGGCAAGAATGAATACAAAATACAGCGCAATTGTAACTATATCCCATGTTTCAAGTCCTGCTTCTTCAAACCCAGCTTCCGTATTATTGTATGAACATTCACTACCCGCAACTTCACTAACCAAAAATGTGACCAAAGAGAATGCGATTGCAGTCACCATCGTTGTATAATTAAAGATTTCCCAGCTCTTGTAATGAAAATATAATTTATGAAAGAATTTGCAGTATTCAGGCTTGGTTACTTTTTTTGTGTTCAAAATCTACCGCTGATACATTACTTCGAAACTAGATGTAGAGGTAGTATGAGTCCGCGTGGCACGCCTTATTAATTTTTTAGTATACTAAGTTTAATTAAAAAATAATTAGGCAGCACAGGGCCACAAATCTGCACATCATTCGTTACTAAGTATAATAATTAATAAACTTCAATGAATATTTTCCAATGCTGTTCTGCTTCTGCCCTGAAACTGCAACATCATAACTATACGTTTTGTTTTAGATATTTAACTGCATGCATTATGCGGACCTTCAAATTCATTTCGTTTGTACGTACTGCTGAAACGACTTGTTATTATTGACAATTGTAATAAGACATGAATAAATACAATGGAAAATTCTAGCATTTGAAATCCACGAAGAAAACTTTTCTTGGTAACTCATTCAGTTCTATTGACGCGCATATTCCGCACTAAACAGTATTGATGCTAATGACATTACGTTAAACATTAGCTAAGTGCAATTTTTCGCAGTTTATCTATATTGACATAAGCGCCTCGAAATTCGTGTATTCCCGCCAACGTAGTCATTTTTTGCTCTTGCATAACCACTGAAATAATATTTACACACTGGTCCGTATTTTACGACATTCGCCAAAAAAGGTTAGGTCTTGACACTCAGACTAAGCACGTTTATGATATGATTTACTGAAAAGTTACATATACGTTTATTCAGAAAAAACATTAAACAATATATTGAATGGCGTTTCAAAAAACCTATTGGAAAAAGCATGTGTGGTAAAAGTCTCCGAATATATATATTTTGTATTAAAGTGAATTTATTCACAGCCAGAATGAGCCTATTATTCATAATAATAAATAAATGCACAAATTACCGAGAATGCAATAAAAGCGAACAGAATATTTAATGAATTTTATATACAGAATAAAATCAAATATTGACATATTTGAGGCAATTTTACTCATACTTTCTACGTAAGTAACACTTTCTCATATTGAAAACCACCGAAATGGACATTTTCAATAGAATGAACAATAATAATAGAACGCACTATTTTAAGTAGGTTTGTTGATCCATACGCTTCTCACCTAAAATGGTTACCTTCTTCCCATGTTATGTAAGATAAATTTTATAGTAGGAAAATTAATATCAGTTTACTAGTTTCCATACATATCGCATTATAATCGTTGCTTATAATTTAAATAGATGAGAACAAGCCACGTAAAATCAGTGCTCATCGAGTAATTTCATGATAGAGTTTCATAAGATCGTGGTAAGAACATATTGGATCACTTTGAATCTTCAACGTGTGCGAAATTATTCTCCATCAAGTGTTTAAAATAGCGTTTTATGGTCGTGGTCACGGCAGAGCAACCACCTCTTTCGAATCGCTTGAATCCGCTGAAGGTTTATGGCTTTGAATCAATTATATTGTTGGCGCTCCAAACAACGCAAACTCGACAGAGATAGCTATTTACCACAAAAACGTCATTGTCTGCCGCCGGTTCTTGCGTTTTAATTAGATAAGATTATTTCGATCCATGATCAGCATAAACGGCGATAAAATGATTGATAGAACAAATAAATAAAAACTGTTTATGAAATCAAGAGCGCAAACTAAACGTTGGATAAGGTTTAAAACGTACAAAATATAAGATGGAAGGTTTTGCCAAAAAGAAGTGGTAAGTGTTCACTCCCGTAATATTTCATTCTCCAATTACTACTGGTAGAAAACTATTGTTCTCGCCATTGGTCAAAGTCAAATTTATAATTACCTTGTTTAACAGACCCTATAAAAGACTTACATTTTTCGCGCCAGTTTGAAGCAAGTAAGAATATAGCAGTTCCATGACCCTGTGCGCGTTCAAAACACTGTCGAGAGTCCTAACGCTTAGCTCGTTGAGCCACAGTCAGATGTTTTCCTGGCGCGATTGTGAAGCTACGGTTGGTTGTTACATCTAATTTTCTGATTCAGGTCTAAATGAAAGTAATTTGTAGGGATTTCAGCTTTGTAGCAGTTTTAGATAAGATGGAAGGAATAAAAAAAATTCCAAATTGGTCACTGAAACGCTCAAAATTACAGTAAGAAATTTTGAGCTTTAAGGTTGAAGATTTGAAAGCATTTATGGCCGCTCAAATACATTTTTCACTCGATCATATTTGTGGTTCAAGATGTGGTACGTGTTCACTCACCTAAAATAATTGAAATATTTCACACACGCTCACACGCACCCACACACACAACCATATAGAAGTTATTAAGTAAAAGGAACATGAAAAATTACATACTGGTAGTTAATAAAAAATAAATAAATAAAAATTACTTGCCACACCATATTAATAAATTTATCATGATTGCCACTGCCAAATTGATCAATTTTATAAATGGGAGTGAACAGTAAAGATAAACTTTTATAAAAAAAAATATTGTCAAGCTGATTATAGATGGAGTATAAATGAAGTAAATATGATAAAGTATAAATGAAATAATTTAACAGGTATTTTGTTTAGCTACGGTAACCAAAAACAATCGCGAAAAAGTTGGGATACCCTTGGCTAAAATCAGATGCTGATAATACCATGCATCAGTATTTTAAAGCAATATTTGGGCTTTGAAGAATTGTATCCCCGCTCTAACTTGCCAAGAAAAGCCTATTACTAACTGCAACGATAAAGCTGAGGACGGATTCGATGTGGGGTCAAGGGTCGTACAACCTTTGAACCTTGTTTTGATCAATCGCAAAGTGTCAGGGTATATCGAGGGTATTCCCCTACTTTCTTCTACGTTGGCGGCACATGTAAGATATTTTATCAGAATCATTCAATCAATCAATTTTATTTGGTCACTCTGATATAAATAAAAAACAAAACAACAACAAATTAAATCAAACAATCTCATTTCTTTCTTTATTCTAGGATATCATATTATTCAATTATATTATTGTTTTTATTTTATTATCAGCACTAAATCGAACAATCCTAACCCTTTCTTTCATCACAGGATACCATATTTCATTATTATTTTATTTCAATTTGGAAATTCCATGACATGGCAAAATGATACTCTTTATAATTTATTGTTCTCTATTTCAATATACTTTAATACCTTTGAATTGTCTGGCTGAAATGCGGTCATGATAGGTTTTATGGAAATGCAAGCTGAATATCCTTTTTTGGAATCCTGATCTTTTTTAGCGGTATTCAGAACTATAAAATACAAAGTACCTTGAAAAAGCGTATAACTTGACAGAACTTATTACATTGCATTACCCCAAGCCTGGATAGAACGCATTTTTGCTAGATTAGCATACCATATATGCACATTCTCCTATAAACCTGACTATTTCTCCCATTTATAGTATGTGGTATCATTATTCGAGGGTGCTATATGTCCAAATTTTATTTTTATGTATATATATTATGTATTATATTTCATGTTGTATTGTCTCTATTTATTGATGTTGTCTTGTCCTACCAACTCCTTTGTACAAACAGTTGGGCATACTCCACCGTTACCCATGTTGCCTAATCCACCCTCCTCGCACAACTATCTGTATGAAGGACCATATTATACTTATTCGATTTATTGCATTTTATGCTTATCATAAGGGGTGTATGCCGCGCTTTCATGTGTTTTAGGCCAGTATGGTCTTGTGTATACAACCCGTCTTCAATGTTGATATTTACTAACTCCTGTGTTTTTGCTTTTACGAGACGAATAAATATACATACATACAAAGGGCAAGCAAAATACGGAAGACCTGGAGGACAGGCATAACTTAATATTAAAGTTAAATACGTTAAGTACGTGCCCGTCCCACCAAAACAGAGTGTCTAAACAAGATGAATAACAAATATAAAAAAAAACTCTACTAAGAGTGTCGTATTGTTAATAAGAAATCTTGATTATTTTGACGTTTCACTAACTCATTCCACACATAAAGTGACGCAAACAAACCAAGACGATATGAATGCTGAAATAGACTATTTCCATACCCAGTAGCCTACGCCTATAGACATACCGGCACGGTACCGGCAGACCAGTATGACTCGTCACCTTTATTGAAGTCTATAGCCGGAATTATTGTTCTTTCAGGTTTGAGTGGGCGTACTATGTTAACCCTTGGAGGTATTAAATTCCTTTGAAGTAAAGGCAAAAATTTAAGGAATTAATATGAAAATATGAGATCTTCCGATAACTCTTCTTCAGAAATTCCTGTTATCAAAGATTCCACAATTGCTGACATGGAAGAACAAAGGAAGCGAGCTGCAATACGATTTCTAACAAGTAGGATAGTATATTTATGGGAGAACTGTGTTATCAACTAGGATCTATATCAAATTTTAAATAACATCTTAACTGAAATAGACATTTCTCTGCTTTAAAATTTTCACTTCTCACGTTCTGCTCAAAACTTAACAGACATTCCAATGGATTTGAAGTCTTTTTATCAAATGCATAAAGAGAGGATGTTGGAAAAAAGTGACAATTCAATGGGACCTAAGCAACTAACCTGGCCCAAAAATACCAGGTAAAATTATTTTAAAACGATTAAAATATGTTAGTTTAAAGTGACTGCTCACCATTAGCATATGTTGAGGTATTTTTCGTTTGTGTTATACTTTTAAATTAATTTGTAACGACAATACCCTACTTTTCAGCTCTGAGAAGGGTGTATTTCAAGAAGGTGAGATTATTAGGGTTATATATGTTTCTGATCCGACATATTAACTTTGAACTGCTTTGGTATGATTTTCATTTAAGTAATTACTAAAATGTGCAACAACATTAAAATATAATGGAATGAAAATTCTGTTCAAATCGTTCTTTACTATCTCAGTAAAATCACCAAGATATAGCCTATTCTTTCTTTGAAATTTTCATGAAGTAAAGTCATACATGCTCACTCACTCAAGAAAAAGGAGACTATTCTGATATTTGTCACTTGTAATCACTCATACGCTCTCAGCTATTTACTGCTTGTTTGCCTCTGTAATTGGTAAGATAAATAGTATTTGATTTTATGACACTTTTAGTGATTACATTAAAACTTGAATTTCTACCATGCGGTTCGTAATATAATTGGATTGATTGATAGCATTTTATCCATTCTCGTTTTTCACAGGTGAAGGTCCGGTCAACAATGCAAAAAGTATGCCACCGTGGCCTCAGAAAATAAATCAAAAATCTGCTTTCAGAATCAAGCATTTGAAAGCTAAAGTATTGCTTCAGAAAAGGCATGTTGTGATCAAATTTTGTAAAGTAAATGAATAAACAATTCCATATGTAAAATTTTTATGAAAGCAAAGTTATTACCAATACCTGAATTGTCTACTAAAATATAGCAATAAGTATTTTTATTATTATCTCTATGTTAATACTGTCTAGAGGTAAAATGTAATTACTCATTAGCGCATAGATTCAAGTTCCTGGATAAGTAGTTAGATAAAGTTTTATTTTTATTGGTTGTTTTATATGAAGAACCATATTGTCTATTATTTACAGTCCAAAGTTGGATATAGAATTTAAAAGTTTTATACAGAAATCAGATGGGGGTTTCTTATGATTCTACGATTGGGATATTGCATGCTTTGTCCCTTTTCTTGGTTTTCTAATTATTTGGTCACTTTGCAGTTCGCACATTCATTTAAAATTTGCTTTTCTGCTAATATTTTTGGGCAGAATCTTTATTGTGGACAAGGCAGGCAATGTCCCACTTTTAGCATACAGTGTTCTACCATACAAAAAAGAAGGAAGAGCTATTATCAGGTACCTCGTAAATATTTTATTTTAAAAATCCTTTGAATTTGGCTAATCCAGTATGTTTCTGAATTCTATATTTTTTTGCAAAGGTTATGGTCAGCATTAGATGTTAAATTATAGTTCCAATAGTATTACGGTAAGTCTTTAATGCTTTTGACATTATTTTCATTAAATTTTTGCAGCAATGCTGTAGAACATGGGAGGGAGACGGCGTTCTAAAAGAACGTCTGGAAGTCGACCCGATGTCGGTAATGAGTGGTGATTTATTATATGAAGCAAACGCTTAGCATAGATGGCATACAATTGCCTGGAAAAGAGAAGAAGTGGGTAACGCAAATATCTAATTGCAACAAAAATAGAGATTAGGCATACTCTCCTCGCATTAAATGGGAAATATAACTTAAAAACTGATGTAGATGAAATAAAATTTCTGATTCTTTGTCCATAATTTTATGAATGAAGTTATCACTGCCATATGTGATATGACCAAGACTGATTTATTAGTTACCATTAATATTGGTTTTTTATTATTTTTAAACTATATGGTTTTTATGTGAAGATGGAATGGATGGATTTCTCGGCCTATAAAAAGTTGGTTAACATTTTATTAGTATTTTGAAATGCTATATTGTATGTCTAATATTATCTACTAGATATATAAACTGGAACAGGTTTACAATTGTATATTTTAGGTATCTTACCAACTCTCTACTCGAGGAGAATCAAATATCAGTTCTTTTTTAGCAGGTAGGTATCTTTTTAAATTTTCTTATCTCTCATTTAACTCATTCATTGGATGTTCGTTAACATTTTGAAATCTTCTTTATTTTACAGCGTCATCAGAATTAGAAAACCCAGAATGGAAATCTGGTAGTCACAGAACGGTTTTGACATTTCCGGGTTTATGGTATGCTGCAATATTTAAACATTTCTGATCTGATCATTTGAATCAGGAATCCAATTCCTGGACATTTGTGGGTCACAGCATTGTAACACAGGCCCAAATCTGTCTGTGAAAAGTAGCATTTACATAAACCAATGCCCAGATTATTACGTTAACGAATTTTGATTTTACCGTAAATAGTAATCTATTTGTAGCAATGTTAGGGGGTACTACAAAGAAAATTAAGCATAAATATTACTTTATTTTTCTGAATTAAAATTGAGTCTTGTCTTGGTAGTTTATCATCACAAAAGTGAAATTATTTGCTGGAAACTGGAAATTTTGATAACTAAAATCCCAAAATTCACTTGCAGCAAAAATTTTCCATGACAACATTTCACGGGATTAGGTTGTTCAAACTATCAGTGACGAGTAAATACAATAAAAATATTCTAAGGCAGCACAGATTTCTCGTATGAGTACAAGACCAACCTGGGTATTACTATTGACTAGTATATTTGCATGGGATAATTATATGAATTTGTGAACTCACGTCACCAGTGACATGTTCGTTCCAAACATCAGTGCAATGCAATCTATGCATGAACTGGCACAATTTCCTTCATGTTTGATAAAATACTGTAAACCATTCCTGACACCAGTTAAATATTCTGAAAAGTTGTAAAATTTCCCATCATAGGTAAGCATCATTGATTATGCAAAGCCCACTGAATTGAAGAAAGAATTTGAATGACAGATTTCGAGAAAAGTATCCAAAGGTAAAATACTTCGTTTAATTTTGAAACAAATCAATATTGAGATTTGATTACCACCTGCAATTTGAGTAATTAAAAGTTAATATGTCTAAGACATTTCAATAATGCCAAAGAAATATACCCTTCTTCTAAGATTTTGTTTATTGGATAGATTCCCAGCATCATACACAATATGTTGTATATGCAATTCAATTTTGACGTTTGTTGTGCACTATTATTCCCAAAGCTTTTTCGAAGGACTTATGGAAAAGCAACTACTTGTCATATATTTTGCAGGTTAATATCACGCTGTCAAAGTGCCGTTCCCTGAAGAAGTGATGCAGCGAATATCATTGTCTCAAAATATAGACAGATTTGCAACCCGAACATGCGCTTGCCTATTTTGACTACTTGGTGATGAGCGGGGAAAGTCATAAAAGATAATAGACGACACTGTGCAGGAGCATGCCTACTATTATCCGCAAAAGTGAACAGTGATTCGAGATCGATGGAGATATCTCGACTAATATCGTAATATTGGAATGTCTGGTTTTATGGACACTAATGTGTCTTGTAAGGACTTCTATAAAAACTGTCCCACTTAGCTTTTTTTCTTTTCATTGTGTTGCAATAGGATAAATACAAATTGAATATTGTATTATTTTTATAGTAAATTGAGGAGTATGTAATACAAGTTTATGGATACACATAACGATGAATGTATACTTACAGAATTCTTTGCTTGAATATAGACCAGTTATCAAAGGATCATAGTCAAATGCTTCTATATTAGTTCATAGCAGTTGTAAATAACATCCAGCAATTTTTGTCTAACACTCAATATTAATATCTTACAGGGATCGAACATGGATTAAAAATTCAGTCGGCATGATCTGTGCAATTTTGAATTTCCAGTATTTGCCGCTTTGCAGTTTTCATTTGGTACATTTTACATGATTAAAGGTGAAATGAATGAAGTGAAACATAGACAAGAGCGTCCGAGCACATCGATGTTGTTTTGAGATTGCATTCTGCATCATTCAGTCAGTAGCCCTAATTGGGTAAATTCGTTTTACCAAAACTTCACTGCGCGAGATAGGAAATATCACAGGTGGAATTAAGAATGCTATTGATATTGTATCAAAATTTTCTACTTTTGTAATCTATAAACTTGTGTAATCTATAAACTTGTTGATCGACAGGTCACTGTGTTCTGCCATCAGTATTTTCGATTTTATTTCACAAATTACTCTATTCCCAACTGGTGGATTCATGTTACAAATTGTTTTTTCTATTTGTTTGACGACAATAATAATATTCTAATAATCACATTAGTGAGTTTGTAATATAATGAGGACAATAGTAAGACCATACCCACCAAAGTTTCATCATTGTCTATTCGTGCAATAGAGTAAAAGTATATATAGCACATGGCAGCTTATGAATTTTAACTGTTAGAATACAGTTGGAGTGTTTCGCTGCTTGCTTGTCTGTTGATTATGCAGCTCTATCCCAAACGTAGAGAGATGAATTGAAAGTCAGTGTGTTCATATACAAGTACAATGCTGACATACGCAGCAGTTCAGACCATAAAAAAACAGTATCGGCTGAAAAACTGACCCACTACCATTAGTCATTCATATATCATGCTATAGGATAAAATATTTTATTTATTCCCATCAGGCAGCTTTAGGTTAAGTAGATGCAGCATTAGAGAAAAATATTCAGGTAAAGGTGCTGTAATATCAACTGGTCATTAAGTTTAATTCGTTAATTGAAGGTAAAGAAAGTCTCCATCTGTGGATATGTAGTGGCATGATTTGAAGCTGATCATCTGTTAGTAAAAGTTGACGCTTTAATTTTGGACTGAGTTTTTGTGGGCCATCATCATCTTGGTCATGGTCTAAAAACATTTTTATTCCATTTATATTCACAATTCTATTGGATAGATATCTGTCACCGAGAACTTGGCACATTTTACATGAAATATGAATCAGACTCTGTTGGCCTAATCCATCACGAGGTTAGTATTTTGACTAAAGACATCCCTTTCATTGAGTCCAGCACCTCATAATATGATCTCCTTAACCTTACTGCTTTAGTTTTTATTTTAGTGATAGATGGGTTTAAAACAGGCATTTCAACGATCTTTTCTTTTATTTTTCTGTTTTCGATCGATACTTTTATCAAATCAGTAGGGGGGTCAGGAACTCCTATTGTAATTGCTAGGTCCGTTCTTAGATATTTTTCAGCTTTCTTGGCAAGTTTGAAGGATTTTCTCATTGCATTATTAGCAGCAGAAGATTTGGCCAACAACATAACTCCGGAATAATCTAGATGTGGTGCATTGCATATTTGCAAATCTGGACAGTCGTGCTTGTGAGCTATCAAGTGAATAATGTCTTCAACTGAGCTTGTCCTGTCCTCTAAGTTTCTCTCAATCCCACAGAAGGCATGGACTCCTGCTGGCTTGTTATAGGAAATGAAATGTTCGTTTTCAAATAAAAAGTTGGTTGCAAGAAAATGCTTGACATGGTCTTCTGATGATAAACTTATTTTTTCGTACAGTTTATTGATTTTAAACCATGGTATATTTGTCTTTGTTGTAGATTGTGCGGACGTTGAATAGCACATGCTCATTTTTTTGAGCAAATTCCTAAACAACATGGCTTCTAATAGGAGGTTACTGAAAAAAGAGACATAGGCCTAATAGCATATACAAAAAAAAAAAATTTTGCAGTCTTGGTTGTACTGAAGTTTTATTCACTTCAAGCTTGTCCAAAAGGAACATTCTTTCCTGATCATTTTGTAACACCGAATAAAAGCAATAGGTCTACCTGTACTGATAACAATAGATTCTCAGCAAACTGGCAAATGATAATCAGGGATGGACATCAGTTCTAAAATCTCAAATTGCTAGGTACGGTACCGGTAGTCGAGCATTTTCTGTTTTATATTAGTTTCATTTATTTTATCAATGATAAATATTGCACAGAACTTCATAATTTACAAAGAAGGATTTTTTTAAAATCGGTACCGTAAGGTATTACCGTATGTTAGTAATCACAATAACCTAATGCCTGTAACCAGGCTACTTAAATGAAACTTTCAATAGTTTACCGGTACTGTATATCTCGATTAAATCGCGTTTTATTGTGCTTCCGGCAGTTTCCACAGTAGGTTGTCCGTTTTCCCGTGTTCAGTCGCGCAGTCTAATTTATTTTTTGACGAAAAAATCACATTGTAGCAAAAACATGACACTCCATAGTTTACTTAATTAGTAGTTAACTTATTCAGTAAACTATGCACACTTCGTATTCGTGCGCTAGAATCGCGACTCTTACCGATATCAACTTCTGTCGATATTTGACTGATCGCGAGATGTCGCAGGAGATTAGCAAAAAATTGAAAACGATAGCATCATAGTTCACACGATAGCATGATACGGTAGCATCTCGCGCACCCGTTGAACCTAACGTCACACTGGCCTGACGTCAATGACCTTTCGCTCACTTCGAAGTAGATGTTGCGTCGCAGTCACAAATTTGACTCTAGACATTAAGAGCGCATACGAGTTAGCGTATATTTGAAAATAAAATATATATGGTATTTTGTTTGGTTGTAAAAATGGCAATTCACGTTCTCGTTCGATTTGACTCTCTGAAACTCCCCCATATGTTTAGAACCAAAACATAGTTCAAATGTGCAGTTCTATCCAAGTAATATAAACATTATAACCGGCCCTGTATGAGTTAGTAAACGAGAGCAATGTAAAAATGAAAGCTTCCAAATGGGTAATTGAGTGTAATTTATACACGACGGACATTTAAATCGATCGATAAGATTGACGTTTTGCATGTTAGAATGTTACCAATATTTGATTGTCATGGAGGAATACTGAGGATGGAGAACGGTTCATCAATCATCTTTTGTGCTACTGACCGCAGTATGTTCCCCAGCTTTTCATTTTAGGGGGGGGGGGGGTAAATCAGGTATAACTGAACATACGTTACCACAACATTGACGGGCAGGAGTTTATTGTATAATAGAGACAGATTTAGGATTGCGCAATAATTTTCGATTCAATTCAAAAAATTATTCGATGGACAGCCCTTGTTAGGTTCATAATTGTGTTGTTAAGAAGACTGATACTGGAAAAGTTACTTTTTACGAGTAATGACTTTCAAAACTTGCAATATATATTTGCGGAAAAATTCCCCATCAACAAACGGGCGATTCTTTTTAGCGATGTAGCGGGCTACATTATAACTGCCCAATAACGTAGATTCACTTTCATTTGATATTTTTTGAACATGTTTGTTTGACGTTTGTATGAATTTAGCAATGAATTAAATTTTGGAATACGCGCGTCAACTGATCATATTCTGAAGGATGCTTCGTCTCACAATGACGTCTAATGTTGTATTCCTTCGCCATGAAGACAAATCGCCGAAGTTTGATTCTATTCAATAAAGAAATATGAACGCTGCCATTCATCTAAAAAACGTCTGTTTTCAGTGTCTAGTTTTCGTTTTGTGATAGCTTTAGGCTTTTTTAATATACGGCTGATACTTGAAACATTGTCGTATGTAATCCTAATGCTGGTACGTATACAAAAGATACCAGTCTAATTGAATTGTTACGAAATACTCAAATTGTGATAACGGTATAACAATTGCCGGTATCTAAAACGAAAAAAGGTTGAAATTTTAGGGGGTATAAGGAAATCACTGACTGACCGTGATGTCTCATGGTTACTGTTCCTAAATTTATAAACAATCTCAGGAAACATGTTGATATTAGCGCGGCGTCATGCTCTTTTACAGATTGAAACGATATCATACAAACTGAAAAAAATAAATACAAAAATACCCTATATTGCATATTGCTCAAGTACCCCACGATGTGTAAAACATGCTACCATTGACACAAGGATCAAACGCGGTAAATAGTGCGTGTGATGTACCATTGGCTATTCTATTCATTGTTGAACCTCATCGAGTCCACAGGACATCTTTTCTTGGATTATGATGAAATATAAGATAATCAATGTAGAGTAGGCTGTGGCCAATCAATATATACTAAAATGCATGCACAAGGGACTTCGGCATATTCTGTTCTAGACTTCCATACAATATTTCATTCCCAAGTCCGACTATTGAAACTTACCTTGTAGCAGACGTCACTTCCACAAAGTAAATATAGTGAAATAACCCAGAATTCGTGGTCAAAAGCGCAAGCTAGCGCGAGGAAATACAATATATTGGCGATTACATATGGTTTGAATAAGATTTAAAGCGCCGAATTTTAAACAAATATTAAAATAACTGCAGTCTTGATTTCAAACAAGGTATTTGCATAGAGCTGTAAAAAGCAAATGCATTAGTGGTATCTATAGGAAATAAAATAATGTAATAATATTGTGTGATTGAGAACGTCCCCCTTTTTAGTTCCTCTTCCTACTGTACTTGGAATTCAGCAACACATGGAATATATACCATTTTTTTCTAGTTTCCCATATTGTTTTCACTATATATACAATTGTTCTACTAAACGTATTAAAACAACCTGCACCAATAAATGGCTCTTCCGTCGCTGGGATTGGCCCACAATACAAACCAAGCTTCATTTTGAATAAAAATATATAAAATATGCGGAAGGTATCTATTATTAATTTTTTATGATATTCAACAAGAACAAATATATATCTTAAAATTCATTATCGATATGTTTTAAGAGTGCTGTATTTTCTACCACCAGTTAGGCCAAGCCAACAATAAAATCATGTCGAACTAGGTTGTGATATTTTGACAGGGCTGCTTATATTAGAATTTTTCAACGGTCAGAGTTTCAGAGTACCTGTACGCATATCATATCAAAAGTCACTTGGACTACTGTATCGAGAGACGACACGAGTTCAACTACCCCGGTAACCTGGTTGTGCGAGTATACTAGCTACCAGAGATATTGCTCCTACTCACCAACAATACGCCCAGCCATCGTCAACCCACACCGCAATAACAGCGTGACAGGAATCGGGGGGCGAAAGACAGAAAATGCAGGCCTCTCCTCCCTGGCAACACGTGCGTAGGCTTCCCCGAAGTCATCGAAGCTCTTGACGCCATTTTGTCGATATTTTGCCCATATTTCCAGAGACAAGACGCGCCAAAAGGGAAACAAGATGAAATTGGTGCTACATATTAGAGACATAACTGGCCAGGTTTTACCAGAAGAATACGGGCAAAATTACTGTTACAAAACAATAAAATCATCATTCCCTCATCCAGTATTCCCTTTTTATTACGAAGTGTCTACAAATTGAAATAAGAATACATCACAGACGAACTGCCTTGGTACTTATTTATTCACAAACCAAATTCTCAATATTCAAATGTACATATAATTATAAAAACTCCGAGAAAAACAAATAGCCACAAAGAAAAACTTTAACGTGAAAACAATTTCAGTCCATTAATTCGGTTTTCGTTTTTGAATTTTAACATTAATTCCATCACTCGTTCTTAAAACTAATCCAGGTATCACTTCCAACGTTTCTGGACTGTTGCATGACTCTACAGAATATTCTCGTAACAAGTGAGCTAAAACTACTTTTTCTTCCATCATTGCAAACTTTTGTCCAATGCAGTTCCTTGGCCCAGCCGAGAACGGAAGATATGCATATGGATGTCTTCCGACACTGTTTTCCGCATTGAATCTTTCCGGATCAAAACTATAAACAAATATATATAAGCATATGATAACACAAAAATGACCCGAAACAGCGACGTTTGAACTGGTTACAAAATTAAAAGAATCATGCAGCTGTAGAACGATATTCCGGAAATCCAATTTCGAGTATATATTAGCAAGTTCAGCTATGCCACGACATAAATAAATAAAATTTACAAATATCTTTTCCATATATAATGTCAGTATATTAGAAAAGCTTTATTTGCTCTTACTCAAACAATATATCGTATAAGTTGTCAACATTGTTGTGACAAAGGATTTCCTCCCCACTAAAGTTTTCCCCTATTTGTGAGCTATCATTCCCTTATTAACAATTAATCCCAATATTATATCCCAAACTCAGTGCGGATACAATTGCAAATCCAGAGACTGAGACAGAGACTCATACGGCAATAAGTGCAGTTCATCTGTAATCTTGATGACACACCTAACAACAATCTATTAAGAATATTGGTAATTTGTTGATGTGTTTACTATATTTATTGGATAAGCCAAGCTCAGATTATACTATGTTTGAGTAACCCGTGTTTCTGAACTTGGCTTATTTATGTGATACATGTGGTCAGAAACGGACCGGCTATTAGCTAAACCTACTAAATTAGCATTTGGCGTTTTTTCTGATCATTTGATAATCGTCAGAAGGATCTGGACGATGAATTTCAATTATTCAATTGACCGATCAAGTCGTTGCTTTTTACAGTGAAGATTTTAGCGTACTGTAATTGTATTTCCGTGTACCAGCTGTGTCTTTTTAAAACTATCAAATTATCAGTATTGGAGAGACACAAGTCACGCATTGGGGTCAGTCTCAACAATAATTTAACAAACAGGTCCCCTACCAGGTGTAATTCCAATTTTTCTTTGTGTGTGGCTTTTTGTCAAGATATGTATGTCATACAAAATTTAATCGTATATATACTTTTGTCACCCTCTTGCATCTTTTTCGGCAGACACAAATGCCACATGACTTTTCCGAATAATTCGTATAAGTTATGAAAAGTTTCAGCAACTAGCCTAACACTAAAACGCTCAAAGTTGCAAACATTTCACAATCCCCTAATTTTAGAAACACCCCTAAAATGAAAAGCTGGGGAACATACTGGTTGTAACTATTCAGGACATGCAAGAATGTTTACGAAAGCCTGTTGACATTAAAAATTTAATCTCAGTTGTGTAAATATTTATATAAGTGATGGCCCTGATGGGATATAATAGTGAAAACAAATTTCAATTTTAGAAATCATTGAAATTAGTAGTAATGTATTTTATTTGCTATAGTCAAGTCAAAGCTGAAAAGATTTTGCAACCACAAAAGTGTTTATTTTTTTCTGTGACTTGGAATTTACTGGGCAAATTCACAACCGGATTAATTTTAAAAATTGAAAAATATTTCTGCGCATGATTTGTGAATTGTTAATATTCAACCAAGAAACGGGTTTTATAAAAGTTAGGTCGAAACGGAAACGATAAATTTCCTAATTACTTCCAGGAAAAAGGAGTAAATCACTTAATTTTGTCTACACTAGAACGCCTGTTTGTGTATGATTTTAGAAATCTAGAAGGTTTTGTTCTCTCTAGAATATGTTTCAAATGTCCTCCTCGGCGTTTGGGATAGACTTGCATTCATTGTACAAAGTTGCCAATTGCACACATTCTTTTATGGGGATTTGCTTGATTGTGCTGCAATTGCACCCTTGAGTTCACCAATTATTTGAGGATTGTTCTGATGCACATTATGCTTCGAATAATATATCGGACTAGAATCACATATAAAAACGTGGGGGTTCAAGTCTGATGAATGAGGTGCCCACTCTAAGTGCACTGCTGACTGCTGATCAGCCTTTCCTGAAATTGCCCTCTCAGCAAGTGTGTGATTTGGTGTATGTGGGTTATCTCGTCATGCTGGAACCACTGGCCACCTCCATCAATCTTCTTCAAAATCGTCAAAGTGATATCCATAATTTCCTCGGCACCACCACGTAACGTTTCGTATTCACTGTTTGAGCTCTTTCTTTATGTCATCAAACCACACGGACCGATTATGCATGCCATGTTTGGAAATGATTACCCATGCCGTGCGCTTTACTAAATGTAATGCTTTCTGTAAGACTTCCTTCACGTGTGGCGTGTCTTAGTAAACATTATTGTTGGTATGTCTTTATAAAAGAAAGTGCGAGGCAACGGGTAAAGTCTGTATCCTAATGCCAAGAAGGCCAATTAGAATACATTTTTAGAGAGAACATAGCTTTTGTTCTAAGCGTCTGGGTACAATGATACACAAACATAAGTTCATGTGCAAACAAAATTAAATAATTTTGTTAAATTAATAGAAAAAATTAGGAAATTTATGGGACCTTCATTCACTCTTTACCTTTCTGAATCAGGCCAATGATTTGGATTTTTGTTCACGGCCTGCGTATACAGTATACAATTTGTGCCAGCCGGCAGTGTATGTCCGTCCATTCTTAAAAATAAATAAATAAAATTTTAAATTAAAATTATCAACTAAGTCAATGGGTAAAAGGGCAGATTCTCGATCTGACAAAATTTTATACATTCTTATTAAACAATCACAAATATGTATACTATTACTATTCAATTTAGTTATTATACATATTGTTGAGTTGTTCATGTCTGTAATATCTATTTCTCAATCAGTACTAATTTACCATCTACCGGATGTCTGACCATGAGAATAAATAGCTGTTAGCTCTTTCCAAATCATGTTACAATGCATGACTGTTGGACTGATCATGCGATTGAAATGTATATGGCAACAAATCACTTCTAGAAATAATTGAAATAAAATTCAAATTGCTTGCTAGCGAGTATATACGCTCATCGAAATAATGCTATTAATTGATGAATTATTACAAGAGGATTTGATTTTTCAGCAGTGCTTAAAATAGATATTCAGTTCAATTTTTAATTTAAAGCACATGATTTCTAAAAATTATCTGAACGTGTCTCTGTTGCCAATAGCGGAGTTATTCTCAAATATTACTATAATTAATATTGCTAAATATCATTTCTGTACTGTATTTTGAACAATATTAAACAAAAGCACTAACAATTTTATGAATTAAAACATCTTCACTCAGTACATGAGTAGACACAAATTTTGTTCAATCAATTTAAAATTTATGGGAATGCAAATATTGTCCTATAAATTACCATCGTACTTACACGCATTCTTTGCTTGTCACTCGCCCTATGACGGGAACAGGAGGAAACAAGCGCATACATTCTTTGGTAACCATTTCAAGATACTGTAATTTCTTCAAATCTTCCATTGTAATGTTTCTACATGAAGAATGTCCTAAAACGTCATCCAGTTCAGCTTGGATTTTTTTCTGTACGTCGGGATAGGAACCAATCATTTGTATTGACCAGGATAATCCAGCAGCGGTAGTGTCATGACCTGTAATTTTTGATTTATAAACGTTTTGTACACACGAATATTAGGTATGGATCATATAATTTAAGCTAGGCAGCCATTTTGTGATTTTTGACGACTTGAAGTTTTTTGTTTGAATTACTCATTATATTATGAAATAGAAATCTTAAAAACGATTAGAGAATTAATGCAATATTTCGATTTTAAGTTATTTCGTCATAACTATCAAAGAGTTGGGTTTTTTGTCGTGTTTGTACTACTATAAATGTTGATTGCTCGCCTTCAAACATAAATGTATCAACTTCTTCTTGTATATCATGAACAGATAACACTTTCCCATTATCCGCCGCATTGAGTAACATATCAAGGAAGGCGAGTCTTCGTGGCGAGGAACGCTTGGACGATAATGTGGACTCTTTCATTCGGTCTGTGATGACCGATTGTGTGAAACCGTGAAGTACTGATAAGCATATTTTAAAATCCTTCCCATTCTGTGTGCGATAAAAGAGAAAATCTGGCCACAACCATGGAGATCTTGCTCGTTTTGCAATAAAACTTGCGGCACTGGAAAATAATTAATATTAGAAACGATGTTTTTTTATAATTGGAATAAGAATTACGAGGAAAGAATTATTAAACATCTATCGTGTGCGATTGAGATGGTAACATTATCCAGAAAGAAAAATCATTATGTCGAATCTCACACTACATTTTTGTAAAATTTAGCCACAATTTTCAAGGTAGGTATCGTGTAACAAATGTCCCCCTCTAAACATTACATGATACATGATGCAAATATAAATAAAATACAAATGAAAATATATAACATGCTGTACAATATGTAACAAGTATGTTACAATACCTTTTTATTGCTTTGACGTATTCCGAATTTTCGTCGATTTGAGCGTGGATAGTTTTTCCCATGGCTGTTTCACAGATCACATCAAGCGTACACAATGTAAGTAAATTACACACATTAAAGGATTTGTTGCTGTCAGCATACGGTTTCAGTTTCTTAGCTAGAATACTTGCTTGCTCGTTCATCACAACCAGAAAATCATTCAGTATGCTGTGTTAAGAAATGGTTTTTATTATTTATACCAAATCACTTTCGTAGTTTACTTTCAAGCTTTTTTTATATGGATCATATGATGTAAATAGGTACTCTCATGAACCGATTACACTATAATAACACTACTATCCAAATCTGTAAAGCAGGCTTCGGCAACCTTTTGTCGCTCGCGTGCCAAAATTAAGGGTTGCAAGTCTTGGCGGACCGCACTACTTTTCACAATTGTTTCACACACATCAGAAGTTGAAATTTGAGCAGCGTGCGAAGACTGCGACAAATTTGTGAACTCGGAAAAAATTTAAAAATAAGATTCATTAAACGAGTAGTTGTGATTTATATACTTGTTAGGTTATGATATAAATTGGCCCACACGTGTCTCACAATAAATTTTGTTATGTAAAGAATATAATCGCCAAAACAGCCGTTTTGTCACTATAATTCAGTGAAGCGTCGCGGGCCAGATTATTTTACTCCGCGGGCCGTAGGTTGCCGACCCCTGCCGTAAAGTAAATCTTCTTGCTCAATCGACATTTTCCAGACAAAAGCAAATGTTTGGCGAATAAAACCTTTCATGTTACCGCCTCGCGCCAATTTGTTAAATGCAGTATTCGCCAGACGCTGAATTAGAAACAGAGAGTACGAAATTTCCAAGTTCTAAACAACCGAATCGCCGTGACAGTGAACGGCCAATCAAAGCGGCCGTATTGAAACAGATTTGAAAAAAAATATTGTATTTTAGTATGAAGTTCCGTAAAGTTCCTTTGAATGTGGTATTTCATGTTGACGTTTGTAAGTAAACTTCATTTTTGTATGCATTAGTATATTTATATATGTCAATTATTGAATTATAGAAATCTGGCACTTGATGGTAATTTCTGACGGACGCGTTAAAATGCGAATAAAAAGCAATCCGATTGTGTGTGAAAATATTTTTATTTATTTTAAAACTATAAATCAATGGTTGACAAATTACTGCCCGCGGTCCGAAAATATCGCAGAAAATAACGATAGGCTGCTAAAATAACATATACATAATTTCTCATGTATTATATGCTCCGGACCTGAGTATGAATTGCAAAACGAGCCACATATATCTCAAACTCACCCATCCGAATAATTTATGTCATTGCGAACTCTAGTAATCCTCCTGATATAACATCGTTCAGGCCTACAAACACGCTTTACAAGCGTGCTACCTTCAAAGACTTTTTTCGGGCGGCCGTGAATTTTGAAACACATATTATTCTTTTCTTTTGACCGGTACATCAAATTCAGGTTCTATTACATTTGAAACCGTGTACATTTGAACCCACGTACATTTGAACCACGTACATCTGAATCCACGACAATTGCACCTGCATACTAGTGCACCTATGAACATTTTTTTGTTTTACGGATATTTGAAGCCATACTAACCCTAACCCATGGGTTTTAGCACCCGCATATAGATTGAACCCGCGGATATACACATGGGTTCAAATGTACATGGTTCAAATGTACGTGGGCTCAAATGTACGTTACCCAAATTCAGTATTTAAAGCAAATATTCTTTCTGTACTCACGTCACTTTCTAATTTTCCAATATTATTTACTCCATCTCCTGCAGCAAATACCTACTATATCTTTACATTAGTGAAACGAGAAGGAAGGCGATTGACTGATAAATTTGCTTACTATAGGACGCAATGACTTAACCAACCTATTACTTGCCACTTCAAAAGTCAAGGTCACAGTAATTTCATTCGTAATGACAGGGAAGCCGCATCCTTTACTCTCTTGAGGCATAAATGAGCGGGTTTCATTTATAAAACAAGCTGTAAGATGAAGCTGACAATAATTTGAAAAGTAATTTTAAAACGAAGTCATTGATTGAGTTTTATGAATCACTTCATCCAAAGAAACTTAAAAATTTTGTGGTGTTTGCATCAACATAAATAGGCAAGCAAGTCTCCTCAATTATGAAGATTAACAAAAAGAAAAACAGATCTCATCTGACGGATTCAAATCCACAATCAGTCTTAAGAATCAGCACAAACAGCTTCAAGCCTGATTTAAACAAGCTATTGGACGCATGCAGTAGGCTACATCAGTCTCATTCGCTTAGTTCATGTCACTTAGAACACTAGCTGTTTGTTGTACATTAGCTGTTATTTATAAATAAATTGTTTATTTTATCCATAGGTTCATATTAAATTTTAAGCCTCCGGTTCAGTAACCAAAGTAATTGCCCACCACTGCTATAAATTGATCTTTTCTGGCAAAATGACAAAAGACTGTCAGTCTCAAACGATTTGTTACATGTTGGATTGGAAAAGACTGCGCTTCCCTAAGTAATTTGTACTCATATTCGCTTCTTTCATTTATGCATTATGACTAAAATTTCAGACTTGAAACCTCCTAGAACCGACTTTTCACTGAGAGAAAATTCCCCTCCCTAAAAAATGTCATAACTTTTTTTTCAAACGTGCGAGAGACTTCACTTAGATTTTTTTAGAAGAAGTATCTACGCCGCTTCATACAAGAAGGGGTGGGCAAAATCGAATATTTTTTCGAATCGAATAGTTCGAATAATTTTAACGAATACCGAATAGTCGAATAACGAATATTTTTTTATACACAACAGGAAGTCTACAACATCGGTCTATACTCCCTTTGGAAATTAATAAAGACATTGAAAAATCGGCTACAAAGCGTTTTTTTACTGGTTAATTTCGTCATAATCGCTGATTGTTTTTGTCACCGTGACCGTTTTCGCGGCGATTTATAATCTATAATACCGCCCTTTCTGTTATTTGCAAGTATTAATTCTTTCGGGTCGGCGGACATCGACGTTTATATATCGGGTTTACCCGTGCGTTTACGTCGGCAACAGCTGTTAAAACCATTAAGGATTGATGTTAAAACCCAAATTAATATTATTCTAATTTTTATCATTTGCGTTGGCTTTCATATTACTTATCAACGTTTGCCGTCACAATACTAAGCGAACGGTAATATTATTATCGATACCGGGATGTAGATATTTATTAAGACAATACCGTAATTAACTTTGCTATGCTTTTCTATGGTGTCTATGTTACTTTACAGATAAACCTCGCAAAGCTGCGATTGCGTCAATCCCGAATGTTGATTTAAAATAGCGACTAAATAATTCGACAATAAAGGCATTTCTGCGTGGCCATATGACGAGATGACGTTAACAGCGCTTCTTGAATAATAATTTACACATGCGAACTAATGCTTAAAAAAATTGCGCTTTTGTACTTCTGTGCTTAATAGATGGCCAGGCGCTAATTTAACTAACTCCTCCAAGTTCCGACGTTTTCTTTCAACAAACCGCGCGACCATTATAGCTAATATCGTTACCGAGTAATTCCCAATTTTATTTACGGAATTTGCGAATTCACTTTTACTTCTCTTGACAATTTTGATAATGTCATGCCCTATTTATTAGTGCAAAAATACTCAAAATATAACGAATTTAATCATTTCCGACGATACAACAATTCGTAAACGAGACAGTGCGCGTTGTTACATCGATATTCACGAGTGATTTTACGCCATACTCCTGTTCACGATTTCTACACTCCAACCGCCATGCATGCCCGAGTGAAATGTTTACACTTTCGAAATATTATTTGGTCAAGAATGAAAGAGATCACACTAAAGAATTATTTGAAAGTACATTAAAAGAACTATGTCCTGCCATTTCTTTTTTGGTCATAGCTTGTTCGTGTTATACTATGTACGGTTTCACGCAAAAGTTAAATCAACTTTTAATTTTCGTTAAACAAATTTATGTTTGGTCCATGCATGAAACGGCTAATCACGTGCCGCCAATCATACGGAGTTTAAAATCTGGAATATTTATTTTAAATACCTCATCTGATATAATGTTTTTAAATTTAGGGAACGGTGTCGGTACCTCTTTGTGCAACATAGGGAATTGAAATGAACGATCGAAACGCAAAGAAAACAAATAACACCATAACGCAAAGACGATTTTTCAAATTTGTCGCTTTTGTAGGTGAATTCTCGCGCGATTCACGATCGGTTCAGAGACGTTCTGTGTCCAAGTGAAGCGGCGCAGATCACGTGGTACCCGATATTCGAATAGTAAAATGTCATTTTTAAATAAACCCGAAAAAATTAACAATTAGATGCTCACGCGTTCCACAAACAATACGCTCTGATTTGCCGTACTTTGCACGTTAACTAACGTTCGTTACGTAATAATGTCTTCAGTAGAGCGTGACGTGCTTTGGAGAAAACCGTAAAAGCATGGCATCAAAATTTCACTTCAAATCAAAGTGCTTCTGTGCCGAGGTTAAAGTTGTCTCGCGGTCGCGGGGGGGGGGGGGGGGGGGGGGGGGGTTGGGGGCACAAACACTCGGACAAGCATATATCATGCTTGAAAACGACGCAAAAATGTCTTATTGCTTTTGTTTTGAGTTACGTTCACAATAAGACGTATACATAAAGAATATTAACTCCTACTGACCAATCATATCATAGTTATATTTATACTACAAATAAGTGTCATCCAGGCATTATAGGGCCTTCTTAAAACGATACCATAAATGAAGGAATATGTAACGTCTTCTAACTCAGAATATGCAATTTTATAGCAAAATTTATTCACTTTTTGAATTTCAAAACTAGCGTGGTTTGGGCTGTTCTGGTTGGCACTGCAAGAATGATTGAAATTCGCCAACATCTTTTTAGAGCTATATAAAATGCGATGTAGGATTGTAGAATAAGGTTACATTTTTTTCAAATGCGTAATATTTAATGATTGTACCTGAAATGGAATGTTGGAGTCAAAAGCCTTCTTCTTGATTTCCATTTTTCCCCAGATGACGTTAGGAGTCCAGTTGCAAGCCAAGGATGAAGAAATCTATATACCACAGACTTCTCAGTATGTTGTGAACTATGGAGCAATGTTTCTGCACTGTTAGGGCCAAAGATATAAACTACTGGAACCGGTCCCATGCTGATGACGCCTATTTCGTCACTCGATGTTAAAGATCTTTCTCGCATGTTGTTCATATTTCTTTTGTATATTTCTTCTGATCTTCCAGTTAACACTAACGCCTGTCCCAAGATTGGCCAGGTTTTGCCCTCCGGGCCAGGAATATTTTTAAAATGACTCCATTTTTTGCGATGTTTCTTTGTCAGAATTATTGACCAACAAACACAAGCAAATGCAAGAGCTAATGTAATGATGCTTATTTCCATTTTGAATTGACCTGAAATGTATTTGAAAATATCAATTATACTGTTCAACATAAATCCTTCCGTGTAAATCGGGTAATATATACCCTGTCTGTATACCATTATTTGTTTGTTCTACAGATATATTTGAGATGATATCCAATGAATCAAATTTTGGTACTCTCTTTGGTACTCCTGATTTCAGGTTGTGCGCCATCTTGGTGCGCATACTTCAGGAGGTCCCAAATTTTACTTTATTGTAACATTCTTTCATCTATTTGGCTGCCTTCTCTAAATTCTCAGTGTTATCTGCCACGTAATATATTGCTCTGGTAAATATATACTGTACAACAAAAAACGGTGATGTTAAAATGATTTTGCTGTCATCACTTTGAAGATGTGCATGCAGTAAGTAGAGTATATCATGTTAAAACGCGCTTTCAAGTATTTCTGCGACTAATGCTTTGTAAAAGTTCGCAATTATTATTACCTTGAAATTAGGTTACAATTGCTGTAAAACCCTAGTTCAATATACAAAACATTTTTGTTGTATCTGTTTTTATGACTCCCAACCAAGTCAAAATTAACTGTGTCAAAGTTCAGAAAATGGCGTCGACTGGTGTGAGACAACAAAAGTAAATTCCAGGTTTAACATGTGTGCGAAACAAAGTCCAAACTTTAACTTGTTTAAACATTTTATCTTTTTATAGCTTATGTGCGGTGTTACCAATTGTATGAAATATAAACGTTTGAATTAGTTTGGTAAAATTATGATTTAACTTTAAAAATTTAATTGAAATACACTAAGCCACAACTTAACAATTTTTATTTTGTATATGAAAAAGAAGAGCTTGAAACAATTTTTATTTTGTATATGAAAGAGAAGAGCTTGAAACAATTTTTATTTTGTATATGAAAGAGAAGAGCTTGAAATATTTTAAAACTTGAGCATGAGTATTCAAAAAAAGGTTAAAGAATAGGGCATTTGAGATCACGAGATAAAGAAGGAGCTTTGACATATTTTTGTTGGAAATTCCTCATCAACGTAATAAAACATTTGAAACAAAGGAGAAAGCCTTTCTTAAAATATAAAAGAAAAAACAACCATATATAATGTGTGAGATTTGATCTTTTGAAAACATATCGTTTTAAAACGGATTTTGAGAATTCAATTGATATTAAAGTTAGTCATTCAATGAAAACGAGCATAATCTAAAGAAACATTTTTATGATAGGAGTATAAAAACTAGCGCCATAAACCCTAAAATTTTTTTATTGATCGCCGCGTTAGTACAGCTTAATATAATAGTGAAAATGCGTTATATTTTCAATTATTTCTCAAAGGAAATCCAAACATGACCAACTCATCGTAAAGGCAATGACAATTAAACAAGTTTCAAATCGCATCGCTTTCATTGCGAGATTTTTCTCATCCAGTTTAACTTTGTGAAAAATTGTAGATGTTTCGTCTGTTATATTTAGTGCTGCGGATAGCAGAGCGTTAGGAATTATCCAAATTGAGTTATTAGTTGTGTATAGGCCTTTATTAAGAATTTATTATATATAAATATATATATATTTCATTTGTAATACCCCTGTATGTGGGCGGGCATCCTTTGTTTTCGATCGCCATTTTTATGTACGATTCAGCGAGTACATTCAGTGTAGAAATGACAACAATTCGACAATAGATTATTTTAGTCTCAGAACAAAAGATACAGACTGCTTGCCTAAGTAAAACTAGGTAAAAAATGTATTTATTGAACTAATTCATTGGACAAACTATAATTCAACTGCTTCATTTAACTCAGCTACATAGATACAGCTATCTACTGCAATATAATATTATATACATAAAATTTTCAAAAGTTTTCTGCCCACAGAAGTTGGATAACAGGACAAGTTCGATATTGTCTAAACTCTAAACAGTCAATTTTAGTCGATTTTAAATGCGAATATGAAAATCATAATTCATTAATATGAACTTACACTTTTTTACAATTTTTGTGCAATTTGGTATCATCTTTTACACAAATAATTGAAATTAATTTAAAAAAAATTGCTCGATTTTCATTGATAAACAGATATTATATAAAACTGAGAGCGTTAAGAAGATGCCTAATAATTATTGGTAATAATGAGATTGCAAAACCTATCTCTACTTCAACCAATTACGCATATGGATATATCCCATAATCATTTTCTTAGCCCATTTCACAAGAACTATAACCGATATAATTTTGATTGTTCGAGAGTCGAATACGCCGGCCCTATTGTTTAACTA